GAGACATTGTACAATGGAACCTCGTTTCTTAAACTTACTTCGTTCCACGCGGCTGTTCGAAAGCCGAACCATTTTTCCCCATCACAAATAATGTGAATTGGATTAATCCATTTCAGACCCCCAAATGATTTCGTTTTAAACTTTCTTATATACAGTACCCGTCTGATGTACCGTTTAACCTATAAATAAGCACTTTAAAAACAAAAGGACATGAAATTTAAATGAAAATTTAAGAAAAAGGAAAGGAAATGTACAGTAAAAATGAAAATGTAATGATCACAGCACAATACCCTGAGGTTTTAACAGCGGTAAATTGGCTCATCATGCTCCTTTGTTGCCTGAGAGACTTGAGACTGATCATACAGCTGTCAGCATGATGAAAGGTTTGTCAGGCTGAGAAGCGAATTGTTTGAGATGGGAGACGTTGGAGAATGAGGTTTGACTCTTAGTATTTGAGCTCTCTCATTTATCTGCCAGTTTGGGTTTTTTCCCCCATTAGTTAATATCAAAGTCAATTAATTCTTTTCCCTATTGCATACAGGCTGGCAATTGGGGGAACGGCTCAGAAACACAGTGATGGGGAAAGCCAACCCAGGTTAAAATTTCCACAGGTCATTGCCAGAGTGCATGTAATGTGTATGCCTGCAGATTGTTACCCATTTCCTCTGCAGTTGATGGTTTGTGGTGGTTCTTTCTCTGAAATTCTTCTCTGTTTTGTATGGAGATAATGTTACACCAAAGATCAAGTGCTAGTGCTTATGGGGAAAAGTCATGTGCCACCCCCAAAGAATTGCTGCTGGTTTTTTTTGTTGTTGTTGTTAATCAGTGAGGTTTCATTTCTTTCCCTTTCCTCCTTAAAATAGAGTGGCCTCAAGGGAAGGCCGTCAGCATCGAACAAGGCCCTGTCCTGTGGTGCTCTGTGATGGCGACTAACCATCCTCAGAACTCTTAAAGCTCCTTTGTAACGGAGCTTTGTTCAGTTCTGGCTTGACAGAAGGAATGGTGGGTGGCTCTGGGTGACAGCAGGTTTCCAAGGAATGTCAGATCTGCCATTGGAGAGCACCAACTTGAGGGTGCCCCCTCAAGCCTGTTGCCCCTTGACACACCTCTTCTGGCTGTGTTAGGTATTATTAGGGTTCCCAGGGACCTTCAGAGTCTGCTCTGAGACTGCCAGCTCTCGGGGACCAGGCCTCCAGACCTCTTCGGGTGCCATGTGCACTGCGTTGTCTAAAATAGCATCAGCTGGGAGGTGAGTTCTGTGAGGCTTCATCCTTCTAGTGGAAATGTGGAATAAAGGGTAATAATTCCATAATGCTTTTAAGGGAGTTGGTGGATGTCACTGCCTGGGCGCTTACCCATAGCAGGTGTTAGTGGAGTGGACAGGGTTTTGGCAAGAGTGGCTGCCGTTAGCCACAATTCACAGTGTGATTGGTGTTCCAGTGGGGTTCAGGTTTGGTATGTAACAGGGCGGCCTGGCCTGTCTTGGAAGAGAGCTTCCCGGAGGAAATCCTCAAAGCCAACACAAGAGTTAGAGCTAACAAGGGAGCCTACACGGCACAGACCCCTCATGGTAAACACCACCCATTCTGAAAACCACGAGGCCTGGCTGACAGCAGGGGAGTGCCACCTTAGAGCCATATTGGTGATACCATCTGGGTCTTGAGTCCAGAGGAAACCAGGGGAGGGAATAAGCATGAAACTGACAAGATCAGGTTGTTTATCCACTTTATCCACACACACCTCTTCTCTCTCTCTCTCTCTCTCTCTCTCTTTCTCTCTCTCTCTCTCTCTCTCTCTCTCTCTCTCTCTCTCTCTCTCTCTCTCAGCAATTTGTTGTTCCACTTATTTTATGTATGCGTTCATCGGTTGATTCTTATATGCACCCTGGCCAGGGATCAGACCTGGAACCTTGGAGTCCAGGCCGATTTCTGTTTCTGAAATTCAGTATTAGGTAGAAATGGACTGACAGGATGAAGGTGGCGGTGAGTATGCCAGTTAGGGTCGTAGGTAGTTGAGATGGAGAATGATACGGGTAGATGTGGTGGGGTGGAGGGAAGAGAGTGTTAAGCAAGAAAAGACTGTAATGGACGGGTTTTGGGTTTGTTCATTGTTGAAGCTGGACCGTTTTACTATTCTTGTAATTTTGAATATATTGGAATTTTTTCCACACTATGCTGTTGAAAGAAATGAAAGCAGAACATTTGAGATCTCTCTTCCCAGTGTATGTTTTCGGTTTGACTCAACTAAACTATTACAAAATAAAAAAAGGAAAGGAAAATGGAGAGAGAGCAATCCAGAAGAGGGTCAAGAGTTGGGAGATGGGGAGACTCCCTCTCCACCCACCCTCCCCCGCCGCACGCATGCACGCACGCACGCACGCACGCACACCCCACCCCCAGGACAGGGGTGTGAGCTCAGTAGGGAGTTGAACAGGCTCCCTCAGGGATGGCCCTGAGTGGTATCAGGTTTCTTACAAGGAGAGCTCTGGTATGCTGAATACAGAGTGGTCATGAGCAAATGGTCTCTGCTCCCTTCACTTTTTAGACATTGAAAGTCTTCATTTCCTTGGTAACATATTTGATCCAACCGATGTTCCCTCGTGCTCCTTACCTTTGTTGCCTGTATAACCAAGCTGTGGTGCCTCTGAAACAGCTGAAGATCCTCCTCTATCTCAAGGTGGTTAATCACTCACCCTCTGAGTGCCTTTTCTCTAAGGGCCACTGCTGCTGCCCCTTCCTTAAAATCCTGTCCTCTGTGATCTTCCAGTGTGTGCCCGCCCCATCTGCCCTTGTCAGGTTCCTAAGTGCCTATTGTCTGGATCTCAAGTGCTGCATTCAGATTCCCAAGGCTCAGTGCAGCAGCACACTCTTTCCCTACTAGGTTCCATTCAAACCCTGACTTGCCAGCCACTCCTGTAGTAGAAAGAATCTTGAAATTGGAGTCTAAAGACATCTATGCCCTTGGGGAAGATATTTTGAAGTATTTATATTTTTCAAATCCTGAATCTAAGAAGAAAATGATCAAGAAAACAAGGGAAAACAGCATAATTCTCCTGCCAGTATAATAGTCAACACAGATATTCCTGGTTCGGAGGACTCCATTGATGACAGTCCAAAACAAGGACAGGCACCGGAGTGTGCAAAGGAAGTTGAAGGTCGTGGGGGCCCAGGACTGGAGCATGTGCTAGAAAGCCAGCCTCCTAGTCCGTTGTCTTGTAGTTGATGCTACGTTAGAGATGAGAATGGCCCTTTCTGTGGCTAAGGGGGAGTCATTTTTAGAAATAAACATTAATATATTGATGTACATAATATACTTTATGTAAATCCTGTGAGATTGTGGGAGAAATAGCAAGTTTTGGAAGCAAAACAAGTCCTTAAATTGGCGGTTTTGATGTGTAATTTTTTGTGATGTGTTGACATTGACCTTGCAGGTAGAGGCTACTGGGCATATTGAGATTAATCTTATCACAATACATTGTTCATAGTAAAAGTGAACCATGCATTTTTATTACAATAGAAAACCTCTGAAATTCTATAAGTTTATCACAGAACAGTGATTTGCTCTTAACAGTTACTTACTAGTATTGAAAAACAAAGTAAAAAAAAAAAAACATTAAAAAATGTAAGTTAAAATTTGGGGAATTTTGGTTTCTCATTCCCGAATTCTGAGGATTAATATCTATCAAGAAATCGGAAACCAATTAAACTCCCTGCCCCTCAGGCCTCCTGCCCAAGCTCAGCCTGAGCACCAGCCTCTCCTGTCCTCCGACTTGTCCCCCATGTCTCCCAGCAGAGCCCTGGAGGAGATGCTGACTCGGGAGTTGGCTCCAGCCTGATTCTGCCATTTAATGCCTTGACAGATGCTTAACCGTGACTTAGTTTCCTTTAAAAAATATATATATATATAAAAAAAAAAAAAAATATATATATATATATATATATATATATATTTTTTTTTTTTTTTTTTTTTTTTTTTTTTTACAGAGAGGAAGGGAGAGGGATAGAGAGTTAAGAAACATCAATGAGAGGAAAACATCGATCAGCTGCCTCCTGCACACTCCCCACTGGGGATGTGCCCACAACCAAGGTACATGCCCTTGACCGGAATCGAACCTGGGACCCTTCAGTCTGCAGGCCAACGCTCTATCCATTGAGCCAAACTGGTTAGGGCATGACTTAGTTTCTTCATCTGTAAAATGGGGAAACAGATAGAACCAATCTCACGGGGTGACTGTGACCATCACTGTGCAGGTTTAGCACTGGCTGGTGTGCAACGAGCCCTCAGCATTAGCTGCTTTGTTCTTACCATCACTTGGGTCTGTCTACTTTCCTTCTGCATCGCTCAGAATCGTGTGTCTGACCTTTCCATTCTGTTCCTCGAGCAATGTTTCTTTGTCTGTAGACCCCAGCTGCCTGCCTGTCTCCCAGGCTCTCTGGTCTTTCCCCTCCTGGTTCCCTTTATTTGTCCATGGAGTCTTCTGTTGGTTGGTAAGCAAGTCAGCCCTCACTGCCGTGTCCGGCCCCCAGTCCTTGCCCAGGGCTCGTTAGCCCTGAACCCTGCATTCCTCAGCATCACCTGCCAGTGACTTCTCAGTAACTGACCGATTGCTCTCCCCAGCCCAGAGTCCAGAATGGGAATTGTTAACAACAAAAAGTGCAAGCAAAGCCATCCCTTTGATCATGTTTTCTCTGATCCCTTTGACTTTTCAGCCGAAACCAGTTTGGCTCAGTGGATAGAGTATCAGCCTGCGGACTGAAAGGTCCTGGGTTCGATTCCGGTCAAGGGCATGTACTTGGTTGCGGCCACATCCCCCCTAGGCGGTGTGTGCAAGAAGCAGCTGATTGATGATTCTCATCAATGTTTCTAACTCTCTATCCCTCTCTCTTCCTCTCTGTAAAAAATATATATATATATATATTTTTTTTTTTTTTTTAAAAACATTGAACAAGTATATCTATGGAATCCTCAGTGACCATCTTTTTTTTGTTTCCCTACACAAGGATCCCAAAATGTACGTGCAGACAGTGCTGGACGTTCATAAAAAGTACAACGCCCTGGTCATGTCGGCATTCAATAACGACGCGGGCTTTGTGGCCGCCCTGGACAAGGTGGGTGTGTCAGCACGTGGCTTTCCATGGAGGAGGCAACAGCGTGTGCCCTCTAACTGGGTTTTGTGTGATCGCAGGCTTGTGGGCGCTTCATAAACAACAACGCTGTCACCAAGATGGCTCAGTCGTCCAGTAAGTCCCCCGAGTTGCTGGCTCGATACTGTGACTCCTTGTTGAAGAAGAGGTACAGTGACTCCTGTTTTTCTTAGCAAACCTTAGCTTTCATTAAGGGATAAAATTTATATCACATTTAACATACAGGAAATTGTAATTTTTGTACCTCTTGAGAAAATAATTGAAAGCCAATAATCTTTGTCTTCCTAAAAGATACTCCATTCTGTGTGCTACATGCCCAGGTCAATTTTTTTTTTTTCTTATATAGCTAATGTCTTAAAGACTTGCAAGCTGCATGGCCCATTTGGTTGGTCACACTGACTGTGGCAAGGGTGACAGTGACAGCAGAAAGTAGCCATTTCTCTTCCATCTGCTCGTTGTTCTTTTCTGCTAGTGGACTTTTTTCCAATTGAGACCTGTGGCTGTAGCCCCTTTTTCCTTCTCTCTCCCCCTCTATTCACCCCCCCCCCCAAGCTGCTTTCAAAGCAGAAGGTGCTTCACGTAGTGAGTTTTCCCATAGTGTTTCCATATCTTTATATTTTAACCATCTTAGTTCTCAACCAGTATTTTTGCTATTGAAGTATGTGTATTAAGAGCCAGAGGCAACATAATCTGCTGTGGTTCTCTCCTAGGTTGTATTTTTTTTTTTTTTTAAGTTCTCACTATCTTCATGTTTCTGGTGTAGTTTCCTCAGCTTCTTTCATTTGAATGGCTTCCTTGTTTTACTGTTCCAATCATCACAGCAACAAATGTTGCATAGCTTGCATAACCCCTTTATGAAAAAGACTGAGAACGCCTCCACATGCCAAGAAAAAGACAGCAAACCAAACTCACTTAGAGTTGTGGAATCTGGAGCAAAATGTTAGCAAACTGAATTTATCTGTGAACTGAAGAACAATTCTCTAGTACATAGTGTAGCTTTCTTGGAATGTAAGGATGGCTCAGCAGTAGCAAATCTGGTGTAATTCACTGTATGAACAACTGAGTCTTCCAATGGGCATGGGAAGCCTTTGATAAGGTCGATCACGATTTCTGATTTCATCAGAAAGACACATGCATGGCCAGTGAGATTGAGTAGGTAGTGTTTTCTCCTAATCATTGCACAGCTCATGTATAACTTAAAAACTCTAGTCAGATCCTCTGGTGTATTCATTTCACGTCTGAAAGTGGATTTTGTATTAGAGTGCCTCTTCAGGCTTGACTTCATATTTTAGATATATTAAAATTTTCAATATTTTTAACATGGAGGTACCCTGATAGGACCTCATTTTGTTTATTGGGCAGAGTATAGTACTGTCTTTTAAATCTGTTGTCTTTTGATGAATAGCTCTTATCAAGTCTCTTGATTTCTGCATTAAGGCCAGTAAAGCAGGAGAATGGCGGAGGGTTCCATTAATAAGCATGTGCTGCTGCATGGAGTCGAGTAGGTGCTAAGTTAAGCAGCTACAGGACAGAGAAGCAGCCCTGACCCATTGGTCTGGAGAGTAGGGTGGGTTTTCTGAGCCAGCTGCTATCTGGAAACAGCTCTTCAGCACTTGTTGGTGGCAGGGACCATCTTATATGATTTGTTGAGGGTGTTATTTAGAAAGGTATCTTGTAGTAAAACCTTAAAATTTTCATTTACTCAGAAATTACCTCGAGATGAAAATTTCTTGGTAGAATACAATGAATAAATCAGTTATTAAAGGACAGCCATCTGTTTTGTAGGCATAGCTACAAACGAAGATAACACTTTAATAGTAGTTTAAACTCTTTCATTATCTTTCATTATTAGGTCATTAAAAGGAAACCATGTCTTTTTGTCTTTTGTGTTGTTGTTAAAGCATGTTGTAGAGGCAATTAGAAAAGTAAATATTTCCTTATATTTAAATGGATTGTATTATAGGAAAACTTGATTCAGAATGTTTTAACTTTTTAATAAATCTTTTTTGTTGATTTTCATCCTGAATATTCGACATGGTTGTTTCACAATCTGTCTTCCCATGATAGAGCTGGACTGGCAGGTTACCAAACGGCCAGAGTAGGAAATGTTGGCCTCCCTCTTAATGGACCAGTCTGAAGGGAGCTGGTTATTTCAGTGCTCAAACCACTTTCTAGTTTGATAGTTTGGCTAAGTGGTGCTTGTTGATGAAATGTTTGCTGATTTGTTTTAAAACATTGCCTTTTCCATAAATTTCAGTTCCAAGAACCCAGAAGAAGCAGAACTAGAAGATACGCTCAATCAAGTGGTAAGGTGCTTAATAGTCATACCCGTTTTCACTGGCCATCATCTGACAGTTGATTTAAGGTTACTTTTTTTTTTTTAATATATTTTATTGATTTTATACAGAGAGGAAGGGAGAGAGATAGAGAGTTAGAAACATCGATGTGGGAGAGTCATCGACCAGCTGCCTCTTGCACACCCCCTACTGGGAATATGCCCGCAACCAAGGTACATGCCCTTGACCGGAATCGAACCCGGGTCCCTTGAGTCCCCAAGCCGACACTCTATCCATTGAGCCAAACCGGTTTCGGCGATTTAAGGTTACTTATGTAAAGGCATTTGAAATACGAAAAATAAGGGAATTATTTCCTTTATTTTGAATCTGTGGTTTGCTCCCTAAATTTGTGTCATTAATTCTTTTTAAATTTTATTTTATATTTTTATTGATTTCAGAGAGGAAAAGAGAGAGAGAGAAACATCCGTGATGAGAGAGAGAGAGAGAGAGAGACTCGTCAATCGGCTGCCTCCTGCATACCCCCTAGTGGGGATCGAGCCCACAACTTGGGCATGTGCCCTTGACTGGAATAGAACCCGGGACCCTTCAGTCCGCAGGCTGATGCTCTATCCACTGAGCTAAATCAGCCAGGGCTGCGGCATTTATTTTAACATTTGTAAATTCCACATACTACTAAGTTCAGACCAAACCAATGTTATTTTAGTATTTTCAGTCGACGAGTACATATAAAAACTACGAGGCATCATTTTGCTGTGACACTAAGACAGAGAAGGTATACATGTTGGCCCTGACACGCATCAGGCTGGGAGGCCCTCAGTATGCTCTTTCTATGGCTTTGCCAGATGGTTGTCTTCAAGTACATAGAGGACAAGGACGTGTTCCAGAAGTTCTATGCGAAGATGCTGGCCAAAAGACTCGTGCACCAAAACAGTGCGAGTGATGATGCCGAAGCAAGCATGATCTCCAAATTAAAGGTAAATTTCGTCTTTTCCTGAAGCAATCTCTTTTTTAAGCCATTACTGTACCAAAGTTTGTCGTTTTCTTAGAAATACTATTATTATTAGTTGGGCAAAGCCATTCATCAGTGTATAATGAGGATTTGTACAGGATGAGTTCTACTCCCCTGCTGGAAAGTGCCAGCATTGTGACAAGTCTGGATCCTTCCTCAGACCTCCCCACTCTTGGGCCTTCTTCTTCTTCTTCTTCTTTTTTTATAATATATTGATTTTAGAGAGAGAAAAGTGGAAGGGAGAGAGAGAGAGAGAAACATCAATGATGAGAGAGAATTATCGAGCTGGCAACCCGGGCATGTGTCCTGACAGGAGTTGAGCCATGATCTCCTGGTTCTTAGGTTGACGCTCAACCACAGCCATGCCAGCTGGGCTCTTGGGGCCTTCTGTTCCTGCCTGGCTTGACCGCTGTGCCCACCGCCCGAGCCACACACCAGCCCATTAGGATTGCACAGCATGGCGTGCCCGCACCCTGCTGTTGGCTTTGGGTGATGGGGTGTTTGTCTTTGCTCTACGTTTGGTTGTATCTGCAGGACAGCAAGCGTCATTTTACTTTGCTATTGAGAAGTTTTTTCTTTGTTCCCTGCCTCTGCTCGTAGCCTGCGTTTGTTTCCAGACTTGCTGGCCTGTCAAGTGTTGTTACGTCTTAGAGCTATTTCACTTTGATCTGCAATTATTATTATGTGGGTGTCTCTCTTAGCTCAGGCCTCATAACAAAATACCATAACTGTGTAACTTATACAACAGGGATTTATTTCTCACAGTGGTGAAGGCTGGGAAGTTGGGGCCGGCTAAGGTTGTTTCTGGTAAGGGCTCTCTCCATGGCTTGCTGGTCACCTTCTTACCCTGTCCTCACATGGCAGAGAGTAAACTTGCTGGTGTCTTCCTAGAATGGCTCTTGCCTCGTGGAAGTTCACCCAGATGGCCACATCTGAACTTTACGGATTCCCTGTGGCCACCTCCAGACACAGTCACGTAGGGAGTTGGGCTTCAACATAGGAGTTTGGGGGATACAGTTCATTCCATAGCATCAGCTAAGCGACAGAGACAAATTTTATCACCTGTGTCTTCTACCAAGGAGTCACAAATTCTTGACCTTAAATGCTCAAGTGATAGTTATTGTGTGTATGATGACTTAACCGTTCTGCTTATAGCTGTTATTTAATGGTATATTAATTCAAACCAGTGCATATTTATACTGTTAAATCTAGTTAACTGACACAAGCTTTAGTAGTAGTTTAACAATGAAGCATGTGTCATGTACTGTGATTGCTCAGATTCCCGTGTGTGTGTTGATATTTCTATAGAAATTAATAAGACCATTATTTGGGTCTATTTCAGCAAGCATGTGGATTTGAGTATACCTCTAAACTTCAGCGGATGTTTCAGGACATTGGCGTAAGCAAAGATTTAAACGAACAGTTCAAAAAGCACCTGACAAATTCAGAGCCACTGGACTGTGAGTATCTGCATGTTCACAAGCTCCTTTTACAGGCAGTGTTCTGAGTGAAGTCATGTCCTTTATAGCAAATGAGAGGGATGGCAGTTGTCAAGTAAGGGTGGTGGATCCTTTATCAAAAATTTAAGGAGAGACAAACAAGGAGTTCCTCCCAGATGCTCTGTACTACCCCTGCCCCCTGTGCAGCATCAGAGCTGACAGCCATGGAAGCATGCTGGCCTCGCAGGGGCCTGTACTGAGCATTGCTTGCAGGGAGTGTGGGCAGCTGAGTTGGTAGCTGCATCCAGGTCCTGAGCTGAGAACTCTTTGATTTGCTGGCATGGCTGCCCTACCATGGGCACCTGCCAGCTCAGGCTCCATGCAAAGTTTAATTTTTTTATGGTTATTATTATTACAATGATGATTTTTAATCCTCACCCAGCGACATGTTTTTATTGATATGAGAGAAAGAGAGAAACACCGATCAGTTGCCACCCATGCACGTCCCAACCAGGGATTGACCCTGCATCCTGGGCATGTGCCCCGACCGAGAACAAACCTGTGACCTTTTGGTGTTTGGGACAATGTTCCAACCAACTGATCCATACCAACCAGGGCTCATTATTTTTCTAATCTTAGTTCAGATCCATTCTAAAAATGTTTTTCTTCGCATACGAAACTGATTTGGCCATATAGTTAACAAGTCAAACTAATTTAGAGCATTGGCTTCAGGTGGGTGTTGGGAACTGGTACAGGCTGCGCTCCTGTCATAAGGTCTTCTGCTGCCATGGGTGGCAGCTTATATTGATGTCATCAGACTCGTTTTGTCTTTCAAAAAAGTGGGGGTTTCTCCCAAAGGGAAGGAGCTATTTCATTGCTGACGTGACAGCTGAGCAGTGGCCTGGTGGCAGCCACTTGTGTGCTGCGTGGCTGTATACGTTCGGTGTCCATCTGTGCCTCGACTAAAGTAGATGAAGGAGGCAGGCCTCTGATGTCCTGATTCTGAGTTAGGCGTGAAACAAAAAACTCACTCTTTAGAGGAAAAGAATTTCTGGCTTTCCCCGCCTTTTACTGATTTAAATTGAATAAGTAATTTAATTGAAATTAAATTCTGAGTTTTATATTGAAGCAGGACTTTGATTGGCTGTGTTTTAATAAAAAGGGTTTTCCATTCTCTAAGACTAACAAGTTGTCTCCCTGTTTCCCACCTGCCCCAGTGGACTTCAGCATTCAGGTGCTGAGCTCCGGCTCCTGGCCCTTCCAGCAGTCCTGCACGTTCGCCCTGCCGTCGGAGGTGAGTGTGCCTCTTCCATTCGCTGCTGAGATGGGGAGGAGGGGCAGCCTTCCCGAGGCACTGGGTCTGTAGGGCCTTCCTGCTGGGCACGTGCCAGCAGTCCTGTGGCTGCCTCTGCTCCGCTCAGCAGAGTGCCTGCCTTCCCTTCCGCACATGGACCTAGTGAGGGCTCTGACGAGCATCATGACATTCCCACCGGTCTAAAGTAGAGACCTCTTTTGATTGTGCCTTCAAATGTTTAGTTTCCTGTGCTTTTTAAGAGACCAATCCATGGCATTTGTATTTTACTTTGATGTAAGCACTGACTTTGTAAACTCGGAATAGTGTGTTTGTCTGAGGAACATGATGAGATGTGTCTTCACATAACGCTGTCCCTTCTTCCAGCTGGAACGGAGCTACCAGCGATTCACGGCTTTCTACGCCAGTCGTCACAGCGGCAGGAAGCTGACATGGTTGTACCAGCTCTCCAAGGGAGAGCTGGTCACAAACTGCTTCAAGAACAGATACACTCTGCAGGTAGGTCACCTGCTTATTTTGAAATGTTTTTTAAGTCTAAATGAAGTTAAGACAAATTGTAGAAATCAGATTTATGCACCAGAATCTGGAGTTAAGCTTCTGGGAAAATAGAATTGAGGTTAATGAAACAGCATGGTCTTAGAAGTCAGATGAGCTGGATTCTCTTTCTGGCTAAGGGACACTTACTTACTGATGATGCTGAGTCTCACCAGTTTTCCATTCCATAAAATGAGGATGTGAGTGCTTCTGCTTCGGAAGTGGTGTGAAAATTAAGTGAAATATGTATTAATGATTGTTTGGTGCAGCTCCTGCCTGCCACACATCAAGTGTTTAGGTGGTAGCTCAATAAGTGGAGTTTTCTGTATTTAATTGTGATAATAGTTTGTTTCCTTTTTTTAAAAAATGTTTTTATTGATTTCACAGAGAGAGAGAAGCAACAGTGATGAGAGAGAATGATTTATTCCTTGCCTCCTGCACACCTACTACTGGGGATCAAGCCCACAACCCAGGCATGTGCTCTGACCAGAACCAAACTGCGGCCTCCTGGTTTATGGGTCAACACTCAACCACTGAGCCACACTGGCTGGGCAGTTTGTTTCCTTTGACAAAGGGGTTTCACATCAACAATAACTGAATGTGCTTATGACAGCACTGAGCACTGAGAACTTTGTTTACCCTCTGAGAGTGTCTCATCTTTAGAGGCCAGTTTTTAGGTGTTAAGAAACTTAAGAATGCATATTGCAGGCCCACCCTCTGCTCAGTAAACTCTCAGCAACCCATTCTGATATAATACAACAGCTAAAATGGAGGTCTCAATCAGCCTGAATGTAATGTCCTATGCAACTGAAGTTTTGTTTTCTCTATCCCCAAACACACATAGAATTCGTGAGTTCATACTTTAGTCCCTACAGTGTCACTGCCCTTTCTTTGACGAGGTGGATACTCAACAAGGGACATGATGTTGGCCATGACACTGGCCCAGGGCAGCTTGAGGTCGTGGCAATAGCCCTGTTCTTCCTTGCCCTTGTGTTTTTATTTAAGATACAATTTTTCTTTATTCTTGGGTTCTTCAAATAGTTTTTATCTTGTCTTCGTTGCGATAATTTACATACAATAAAAGAAACCCATTGTGCCTGGGCCGGTGTGTCTCTTATTTTAAGCGTCCTCCCATGCACCAAAAGGTTTCCAGGTCAATTCCCAGTCAAGGCACATGCTTGGGTTATGAGCTTCATCCCCAGCACGGGGTGTGCAGGAGGCAGCTAATCAATGTTCCATTCTCCGTCCTATCAGTTTTTAAAAGGGGCACCCACTGTAAGTAAGTGTACAGTGAGAGCTAGGACAGATGTATGCATCACGGAACCACCACCAAGCTCCTCCCAGGGCTCAGTCTCTGGTTGGCAGCAGTCAGTTCCTCGAAGCATCGTGGTCTTCCCGAGGCTCCGACCCAGCTTGCACTGTCAGTGGCCAGGCTTGCTGCTCCTGGTTCCCATGTGTCGTGTGGATGATGAGAGAGAAGGGGGAGGGATCCCGGAGGAAATGTGGGGGAAATGCTGGGACTCTGGCAGGAGAAGAGCAACGGCAGGCGGCCATTCACTGTGGTGCTTCAGGCAGCAGAACCTGTCCTGTGGTTGGTTACCAAAAAGCTACCTCTGAGCGCCGTGGTTTGCTTTAAACCACGTCAGACTTTACACAGCAAAGTACTTAGGGTAAAAAAATCAAATACAGCTGAAGCCGGTTTGGCTCAGTGGCAGAGCTTCGGTCTGCGGACTGAAAGGTCCCGGGTTCGATTCCGGTCAGGGGCATGTACGTTGGTTGCAGGCACATCCCCAGTGGCGGGTGTACAAGAGGCAGCTGGTCGATGTTTCTCTCTCATCGACGTTTCTAGCTCTCTATCTCCCTCTCTTCCTCTGTAAAAAATCAATAAAATATATATATATTTTTTAAATCAAATACAACTCAATATGTTCTGCATCAATAATGTACCAAAAGATAATTTTTCTTGGCATTTATGCAAAAACAAAATTGAAGATTGATGTTTTTGTATATACCAGGTGTGTGAATATGTGTTTCTCTCTATACATGAGTGTGGACATTTGTGTGTATTTACATGGACAAAACATTTTAGGAGAAAATTCAAAATCACTTTAATGTTTGAAAAAGTGCGCCAAAACCGGTTTGGCTCAGTAAACTCTCAGTAATCCACTCTGCAGACTGAAAGGTCCCGGGTTCAATTCCTGTCAAGGGCATGTACCTTGGTTGCAGGCACATCCCCAGTGGGGAGGGGGGTGCAAGAGGCAGCTGGTCGATGACACTCTCTCATTGATGTTTCTAACTCTCTATCCCTCTCTCTTTCTCTCTGTAAAAAATCAATAAAATATATTTTAAAAATTAAAAAAAATTAAAAAGGTGGGAAATGATGTCTCTCAGGAGCGCGTTACATTACAGTGGAATTGCACCCACTGTCTTACTACGTGCTTTAGACTTAGGCGATGTGTTTGTAGGGTGCTTTCCAGGTATTTAAATTTACCTCTCTTTCTTTTATGTGGGGGACCTCAAAGGCATCTACATTCCAGATGGCGATCCTGCTTCAGTACAACACGGAAGACGCTTACGCGGTGCAGCAGCTGACAGACAGCACTCAAATCAAAATGGTATTCTTCCCTTTCTCCCCTCCCTAGTTTTGTAGACATTTTGGGGAAGGTATGCATGGCGGGCTTCAATTTGAAATAGATATTTGCCTAAAAATATGCTCTTATTCCAGGGTTGCAATACACTTAAAAAAAAAAAATTAAATATATTTTATTGTTTTTTTTTTTTTTTTTTTTTTTTTTTTTTTTTACAGAGAGGAAGGGAGAGGGATAGTTAGAAACATTAATGAGAGAGAAACATCAATCAGCCGCCTCCCGCACATCCCCTACTGGGGTTGTGCCCGCAACCAAGGTATATGCCCTTGACTGGAATCGAACCTGGGACCCTTCAGTCCCCAGACTGACACTCTATCCACTGAGCTAAACGGTCAGGGCTAATTTTTTTAATTTTTATGTTTATTTTGGCTCAAGCCCAATTGACTCAGAAATAATAAGATCTCAAATGCTTGGGGGAATAATAGTTTTGCAGCTTCTTTTATGCATTTGAAATTAAGGAAGGGAACAGATTGGAGAACGCAAGGTGAAAATTGGATTACAGGATAGTCAAGATTATGTGCTCTCTCGAGGGTTAATACCCCCTCCCAAGGATATCACTCTGGTATCTCAAAGGTGTGTTAACCTAGATGCACAAGAACAGTGGACAGGGCTGGCTTGAAACTTTGCACTAAAGTTACAGGCCTGGAGTGGGACTGCCCACTGTGACCTGACCCGTTAGGAATTTATCATCAGACCACCTTGTGAGGTTACTTTCCTTAGAACTCCTTTAAACTCAGTGTAACATGACAGACATGCACATAAATACATAACTAAAATCATACACTTTTTAAATAAATAAGAAATATATATACACTTCCATAGCAGCAAGGAGTTGTGCTTCTCCCTTTTTGTATTTGGATGTCCTTTCCTCCCCTCTCTCCCCTAACTGCCGTGGAGAATCTCTAGGACCTTGTGGAATAGAAGTGGCATCCTTGTCTTGTTCCTGATTTTGGGGGAAAGTGTTAGCAGTTTCATTGTTAAGTGCAGTATTAGTTGTAGGATTTCCTTATATGTCCTTCATTAGATGTCAGAGGTTCCCTTCTGTTCTTAGTTTGTTCAGTGTTTTTATCATGAAAGAGTGTTGGATTTTGTTAAAATACTTTTCCTGCTCTGTTGAGATAATGTCTTACGTTGAACCACTTGGGATGAGTGCTGCATGGTGATGGCACGTAGTACCTTTTATGTTCTGCTAGGTTTGGTGTGCTGGAATTTTCTTGCAGATTTTTGGCATCTATATTCATAAGATAGGTTTGTTTGTTGTTTTCTTGCTACATTTTTGTCTGGCCTGGTACAAAGGGATGGTCCAAAATACATCTTGCAATTCTAATGACAAAATGGGTTTGCTCCTTTGCGCGTGAGAGTCTTTTCTCATTTCTCCTTATGTCAGAAGGAGACTGAAGCCAGGGTGGAAGGTAGGTTGCCTCCAGACTTGGGAGGGCCTGTGCTCTGGTACCTGCTTTCAGGCTGACACATCCTTCCGGTGACTATGCCAGGGTCTTGGCTAATGTTTGGGGGGGGAGCTGCCTCTCTGCCCGGGGCGGAGGGTGGTGGCTGCTCCCCTCCTGACCACGGTGGACACTCGTTGCTCAGTCAGATTTGGCTCATGATGTGAACCTGTTACGGCAGCCATGTTCCGGTGCTGCTCTGGGATTCCAGGCAGGTGACCTGCCTTAGAGGCCCGTCGCTTTGACAGCTTAGCCCCGTCCCTCTGACCGGATGGTGCCCAGGAAGACCCTTTCTGTCCATGCGTAATGGGGAGGGGTAGGTGTGTAGGAATCTGAGTCACAGTGCAGGTCGGCTGGCCTGCATCTTATTTCAGGGGAGTATGAAGCTGAACTGACCAGCCATTGTTCCTGGTCAAGGAGACGGCCCCGGGGCCACACATGCTTAGAAGCTGGTGGACAGCAGGTTGTACCCTGTGTCCGTGGACAGTGTCCTTCCTGCCCTGCTGGAATGCTCTGGTGTTTCTTCCAGGCATCAGTGTCCAAGAGGAGCTGCCGTTATTTAAGTGGACAGGTTCCTGTTGAGTTAATTAAGGAATCAGCTGTGTGGTCTGTGGAAGTTAAGTATAACACAATGGTCAGCAAACCGCGGCTCGAGAGCCACATGCGGCCCCTTGAGTCCGTGGTTCTTCCACAAAATACCACTTGCAGGCGCGCACACATAGTGCGACTGAAACTTCGTGGCCCGTGCACAGAAGTCGGTTTTCGGCTCTCAAAAGAAATTTCAATCGTTGTACTGTTGATATTTGGCTCTGTTGACTAATGAGTCTGCTGACCACTGATCTAACAGAATCATCAGCTTTCATCATCGGGTCACCAAGGCTACAAAGGTGCTGTCACTTTCAGACATGGGTGCTCTGGGGGACGTGGCAGCTTTAGGGAACCTCCAGAAGCACCGTCTCTCCCTCTGAGTGTGTTTGTCAGTTTGGGTGACTCGTGTGTAAGGCTTTTATTGCAATAAAAGATGCATTTTCTCTTTAAGTTACTACCCCTTTCTCTCTAATTGCAGGACATTTTGGCACAAGTTCTACAGATTTTATTGAAGTCGAAGTTATTGGTATGTTTCTGCACTTTTTAATATTAAGCTAGAAAAAGCCTTTTTCTGAGATTATGTAGTAACAGCTGTTTTCTTGTAGGTCTTAGAAGACGAAAATGCAAATGTTGATGAGGTGGAATTGAAGCCAGATACCTTAATAAAATTATATCTTGGTTATAAAAAGTAAGGAACTCTGCTTAGATGGCCCTAGACCATAGCCTAGTGCCCTGACCCCAGCACATTAACTGCTGTCACTGCCAGTGGGTGGGGGCGGGGAGGGGGGAGCTCAGTGGGGCTAGATGGGCAGGGGTGGGAGTTTGATGGCATCTGATGATTCCAGATGTTTCTCCATTTAACTCTTGTTTTAGTTTTTTTATTTGTTTTTCACTTGGCAAATAAGTCTCCTTAAATAGCTCATTTTGAAGTTTGGATCTTTGTGTCCAAGTGTTCTGATTTTATTTCTCCTGACACAGTTGGGAGAACAGGTGAAGGAACTGAATACCTGGTGAGCAGGTGTCCCGTGACCGAAAGTAGAACCGCTCGGTGTTTGGTTGGAGGGCTCGTTGGCAGAGCTCAGGGCGGGAGCTGCCGTCACATCTCAGCCCCTGTCCGGGGAGCAGTTGAATAGTGCTTGTTTCCTTCATTTTCTTGACAGTAAGAAATTAAGGGTTAACATCAATGTGCCAATGAAAACTGAACAGAAGCAGGAACAAGAAACTACACACAAAAATATTGAAGAGGACCGAAAACTGCTGATCCAGGTGACTGGCACGCCCTCGGTGGTGTCTCTCCTGGGGGGGCTTCGTCCCGTCTGCTTGGCTGTGGCTTGTAGGTGATAAATGGTCTGGGTGGGGGTCAATGAAATACCAGCAAATAAATGTGGTGAGTTTGAATAGGAGGGGAGGAGACTATTTACTGGAGGGGTTAGGCAGCTTCTATGGCTTGAAGACTGAATTTTCTCATTTTTTAAATGTGTTTGTAAGTTGGATTATTATAATTGCTCATAGGACCAAACGTAAGTAGCCATAAGTCCCTGCCAGCTCACCTGCAGTATGTGTGCTGCCTGTTAGGTCCAGGTCAACCTCATGTCTAGACCCAGCTTCACTGTTTCCTTGCTTGTTTTCCCTGCTCTGTTCTGCAGGCTGCGATCGTGAGGATCATGAAGATGCGGAAAGTCCTGAAGCACCAGCAGCTGCTTGGGGAGGTGCTCACGCAGCTGTCCTCCCGGTTCAAGCCTCGCGTCCCAGTCATCAAGGTACAAGAATTGCATAACAGAGGCAGTCGGTTTAGATAAGATGGAACTAAAAGCAGGTCGTTGTTTCCTGAAGAAGGAACTTGGTTATTCATATGCAGATTTCTACAAAGGAAAATGGGCTCAATTTTAAAATTTCCATTGGAATGCAAAAAGAAGTCAGACATACATGCTCAGCTAGCCGGTTGTACCAACACCAGTTAGGCAGTGACTGGCAGTGACTGGCCAGCAGAGCCCCGTAGGCTCACCATCCACACTACTAACACCAGCGCTGAGCTCTCTAGAATGGAGTTCCCACTGTCCTGTGTCCCCATCACATTCGGGAGATTCAGACTCTGGTGTAGCATATCATTGTGTGTTAATCTCTGTTGCTGTGTGGAGACTCCTGTGTGAGCAACATATGGCTCATTTCTGGCTGGGTTGTTTAAAATAGAAAGGATAGCCAGTGCAGATGGCACAGTTGACAGGCAACTCCCGACAGCCAGGGGGCCCAGGATGGCTCCTGGGATTGCACTCAGAGCCAGCCCAGGAGCGAGTTTGTTCAGGGCACCCCATGACTTGTTCCCAACTGGGCTTCTGCAGCACCTGACCCAGTTCAGGTTTGGGGATGCATGGCTTCCAGGCTGACGCTGAGGGGACTCCATTCAGGAAGGCAAGGGCTTGGCTACATGCTGAGGGGGTGGATGAGGTGACTATGCTCCCTCCTGAGCTCTGAGAGGTGGGGGATCCTTGGTGAGGGTGTCACTATCCTGCTAATGAATGTTTTTCTTTACTACCTCTTCCTTTTTTAAATAACACCCAGAAATGCATTGACATTCTGATCGAGAAAGAATATTTGGAGCGAGTTGATGGTGAAAAGGACACCTACAGTTACTTGGCTTAACCCTTGTAGAGGGTCTGACTGTGCCACCGCGGCCAACGTTCCTGGTGGGCAGGATGACGACCACTTCCTAGCAGCCGCCTGCACCACTGGCCTCCCTTTTTAAACTGAGACCAAGACTCCCATCAGCCGGTCTCAGATGTACATCAGAACTGCTCAGGATCGATACATTTCAAGTCTGTAAATATGGACACCGACGCCATTTAACCTAATTTAAGAACAGAGGGAATGAACCGTCATGCTGAGGGCTGCATGCTACTGCATCTAGATCAATACATCGGCTACGTGCTAACAGCTGCCTCTGTCTCGGCAGCACTGAGTGTCGGCCACACTTTGAGAGGAATCTGAATGGACCTGCGTGTAATCTGCTCTGAAAACCATTTGTATAGTGTGTTTCATTTTTTAATGTGTGAAATAAAGAAAATTAAAGAATTTCTGTACAAGTTGCATTTGGTTTTGTTTTCAGTTTTACTATTTTCTGCATGTAAATGAGAGATGATTGTACAAACTTATGTCCCTCGTGATACAGGCTGCATTCTCTAGATCTTAGCATTTGAAGTCCTCAGGCCCTCTTATAACTTGTTTCAAACATGGATGCTTATTTCTGTGACTTCTTCCGGTGACCTGAATGTGGCCTGTGAGATTCAATGACATGTTGATTCCATCTGCCACTTGTAAGGATGAAGGGGCTAATCCTTTGACCACCTAACCTGGGAAACAGGTGGGAAACAGAAGTAACTCGTCACAGTGGGCAGACAAGCTGGGAGTGATGTACGGCCAGCTAGCAAGCGTCAGACTTGGAGGTGCGTTACAGCCCGGTGGCTCCTTCATTCTGGTTCGATCCAGTTAAAATATAAGAAGCCATGGTTCCAGATGAACTCCCAAGATCCCAGCAAGAGGGGGCATGAGTCCCCTCTGTCCCTGACTGAGGATCCCCTGACAGCAAGACCAGAGACCAGCTGGAAGCTGTGGCTCTTTCAAGCACCTGCTGGTAAGCTGGCATGTTCTCAGCAGTATCCCCCAGAGGAAGCAATCAGCTCCCAGCATCTGGGGCCTCGGTTCCAGCCTGCACAGGACTTAACTCCTTTGTTCTTTGTCCACAGTCAGTCCCACGGTTGACTCATCACATCACTCGCTTCCTGACCTGAGGACAGAAAAAATGGGGAAGTGGTAGCAAGACCTCCTGGGCACGTTTGGCTCTGCTGCTCGGCTTTTGTAGGTTTGTCCTAAACCTCACAGGTTTCTTAAGAATTTCTTAGAATGTGCTAGAGCACATTCAGGTTAGTTTTAAAGTTAAAGGTAAAAAAACTTATAGGATATAAAAAATAGTGCACAATCTACAATAGCTAGGATTTGGAAACAGCCTAGGTACCAGTCAGAAGATGGTTGGATCAAAAAATGATGGTGCATCTACACAATGGAATACTATGCTGCCATAAAAAATAAGGAATTCTCATTTCCAGCAACCTGGATGGAATTGGGAGAACATCAGGCTGAGTGAAATAAGCCAGTCAATGAAAGAGAAACACCACATGACCTCATTTATGGATAATAAAGAACATTATAAACTGATGAACCAAAAGATGATATAGAGACAGTAAAGCAACAAGCAGACTGTCAAATTACAGTGGGGAGGGGAGGGAGATCTGGGGGAGATAAGAGATCAACCGAAGAACTTGTATACATGCATATAAGTCAACCAATGGACACAAAACTCTGGGGAGGGAGGGTATGAATAAGGGGGGGGGGGGGACAATGGTAAGATATGTACAGATTAAGTGTCACTGATAAAAAAGTAATAGAATGAGACTACGCATTTATTAATGGTTTCCACATTTATTTAATATCTTTTTCAAGTAAACCAGAACTATCCAGGGACATGCTCCTCCTATCCCCCATCTAAAGCTGCAGTTACTTCATTGGCCTCTGGGAGCCTGTCATTTTGATTTCTGTGTTTTAAATACTTTCATACTGTTAATGGATTTTTAAGTGTCTCACCAGGAATCTTTCAGAACTTGCTTTATATCCCACTGCTGGTGTGTCTTGAGTTCCTCCAGGATCAAGAGTACCCCTGGGTGAGTACCTTGGCTAAGAACAGGAAGTAGAGGAACAGGAATGGGTTATTAAGTGGTTACCCCACATCCTCAGATTCCATGCCTGTACCTGCGCCCTTGTGTTAGGTAAATTGGGGGGGGGGGGGGTAAATTGGGGGGGGGGGGGCAGGGGCGGCGCAACTTTTTTTCACTTCATCCTCCAAACCATGGAAGTCTCAAACTGTTTGCAGGAAAGGCTCAGGTGTTCTGAAAACCCTCTGGTGAGTCCCCATGGAATCCGTGACTACAGGTGTGCCGCTCTCTGTGCGGGCACCACCTCCTCTCCCAGAGTTAGACGGGCAAGGCAGGACCTTCCACAGCAGGTCTGCAAGGGCCAGAGGTCCTGGATCGGGCCACAAACTGCTGGCATATCCCTTGGCAGTGCCTCTAGGAAGCAGCCAGCTCGCTGGAGTACAGGCTTAGTAATGGGGGGGGGGGGGGGGGGGGAGAGACAGTTGACTCAAGAATGAAGCACCTAAATTTAAAGGATTTTTATTGACTGAGCACTTTTAAGATGACCAACCTCCTTGCTGAACATTGGTATCTAATTTCTCAGAAAAATAAGATTTTACCACATACAGGGTGCTGCCGTTTGAACTGAATCCCGCTTCTAAAGATGAATTTTCTTCCGGGTATCACAGTAACTTCACAGATAGTGGCCTGATTGTTACGCACCTAGATCTCACCTTTCCCGTTCTCCAGTGGCAGACCAAGTGACAATCATCAAGGTGAGATTTTTTAAACCACTGTTGATGCTTGATGTGCTGACCCTCACGGGTTGTTTCTGACAAGGGGCTGAGGGAATAACAAGCATGTATTTCAGCTAATCCAGGAGCCCAACTTTCAACAGAATACTTAGGTTCTCTTAAAAGTTCATGAGTTTGGCCCTAAGCCAGCATGGTTCGGTGGTTAGAGTATCAGCCCATGCACCAAAGGGTCACAGGTTCAATTCGTACCTGGGTTGCAGGTTTGATACTTGATTAGGGCTCGTACAGGAGGCAACCAATCCATTTCTCTCTCATATCAATGCTGCCCCCCCCTTCCTCCTCCCTTCCACTCGAAAAATCAATGGAGAAGAAAATCATGTGAAGAGCTTAAAAAAAAAAAAACAGTTCACAAAATCAGACCCTTTCTTGATGACCCATCTACATAATACAACTTAACTTTTGCAGGGTGAGGGCAGCTGTTAAAAACCTGGCACAGGTGGAATTAAGATTCTTTGGTCACTGAATGGATAAAGGGGAGGAGACTGGAGGCCAAATGAACCAAACAATATTGAAAAGTAATTAAGCAGCCGTTTCTGGGTAGACTGTTAAAATTGTTATTTTAACACATTGCGGACAGATCACGAGAATTCTCCGCTTTTCATTGTCGTTTAAAGGAGAAACAGTGTAATGGAAAACGCATTTGCTCAAGTTAAAAATTAAAAATGGAATTAAAAGTGATTAGTCTCGCCGAAACTGGTTTGGCTCAGTGGTAGAGCATCGGTCTGTGGACTGAAAGGTCCCGGGTTCAATTCCGGTCAAGGATATGGTGTGCAAGAGGCAGTTGGTCGATGTTTCTCTCATCGACGTTTCTAACTCCCTCTCCCTTCCTCTCTGTAAAAAAAAGTCAATAAAATATGTTTTTAAAAAGTGATTAGTCTGTTAGTAATAATATCAATTGATATTTTTATAAAATTCTGGATATATTTGCTGACAATTTATCAGATTTTCCAAGTGAATGTGATAAAAGCTTTTACAGTGATATGGTTATTCCTTCAAAAACGCGAAAAATAGTAATTTCAACTGATTCCGAACCTAAAAATTTGAACAGTTCCACACAATTTTGAGTAGTTTGCATCTTGGTTGCTAAGATAATGACTGGTCAAAAGAGGACTTTCAACCTAATTTGGAAAAATCGAACATATAACCATAATTAGAGAAAGCACAAAATTTCAAAAGCAATAAATAAAGTGGTCTCTTGTTACTCTAATAGATATGAAGAAAAAAAATTAGGGCTTATAATGCTAATGGGGCATAATCAAAAGTATATTTGGGAAGAATATTGTTCTACAAATCCAGTTCCAGCTGTTCCAATGTTTCCTCAGAAGAGAAGTCAAAATCGTTTTGAATAAATCTGGACTTACTGGCATTTCAATGACAATAAATCTTCATCCAAGCTATCTAAAATTCAATCTGTACTCAGACCATTATATTAGTAAATTTTAAACAATATAAAAACCCATGCAAGAATTATCATTAGATGAAAGCATGATTCCCTGGAAGGGACGTCTTCTATTTCAAACTTACAACCCAGCTAAAATTAAGTATGGTTTACTTATAAGAATGGTATGAGAGCAAGATGGAAAGATATTTGCAATATGGAAATTTACACAGGTGGGAGGAAAAAAATTGAATGACTGTCACTACTTGGGCCATATCTGGAATTGGGGCATCACATAGATCAAGATAACTATTACAATAGCATTTCAATTGCAGAAACTTTATTACCACAATAAAATGAGTTTGTGGGACAATTCAAATAGAGGCTTGCCTAAATGTTTGCAAGATGAAGCATCACTTAAAAGAGGTGAAATAGACTTCCAAAGAAAAGGTGTTTTTACCATTGATTTGGAAGGATAAAAGAAGTTCGAATTATTTCAACTATCCATTATGCTTCCTCTTGTCCAGTATGACAAATTGGTGTACTGGGGAGGAAATAAAGAAGCCAGTTTCCATTGTGCAGTATAATAACTATATTGCATGGTATTGATCTTACCAACCAGTATCTTTCAAGATGTAGTAATATCCTTAGAAGAAAACAATAAAATGGACGAAGAAAGGAGTGCTTTACCTGTTTAATTGTGGACTATCCAATTCTTTCAGGATTTATCAAGTGCTCAATCCAGAAAGCCAAGTAAGATACCAAGATTTTGTGATAACTTCAAAATGCAATGAGTAATTTTAAAGCATGCCTTTAACATTTATGTAAAATACTTCTTGTACTTGTTCAATAGAAACTTATCTGGCTACTGGGTAAAGCTAGCAATAAAACTGGTCCGCAATGTGTTAATATATAAATTACAAAATATTATTGATTGAAAAGAATTGTGAAGAAGTTAAGTCTGTGAGCTGAAGCCGGTTTGGCTCAGTGGTAGAACGTCGGTCTGCGGACTGAAAGGTCCCAGGTTTGATTCCGGTCAAGGGCATGTACGTTGATTGTGGGCACATCCCCAATAGGGGGTGTGTGCAAGAGGCAGCTGGTCGATGTTTCTCTCTCATGGACGTTTCTAGCTCTCTATCTCTCTCCCTTCCTCTCTGTAAAAAATCAATAAAAGTATATTAAAAAAAAAAAAAAAAAGTTTGTGAGTAAGGTGCTGCCTAGATTTGGGGTCAAGACTGTAGCTGTGGATCATTTTAGTAAGGTTTTGTTTTGTAATCTTTATTGTTGAAAGTATTACAGATGTGTCATTTCTCCGCTCTATCCTACCCCCACCCCCTTTTTTAATTTATCCATTTTAGGGGTGAGAAACATCGATTTGTTGTTCCACTTCCTTATGCTTTCATTGGTTGTTTCTCATTATGTGCCCCAACCAGGAACCAAAACCACAACCCTGGTGCCTTGGGACCATGCTCTGATCAACTGAGCAACCCAGCCAGGGCTTCATGAGGTTATGACCATCAGGTGAAAGTTTAGGGACCAACTGGACTACCTCTGTCAGCTTGCGTTCCTCAAAGAACAATGTGTAACATTCCTAAACAGTTTGGAAACTAAAACACCTGTATTCTGACACTCTTCTGTATCCCTCTGGTAGGGAAGTAAACACACAGAGCGATGATTTTCGCCGGCACCGGTTTGGCTCAGTGGATAGAGCGTCGGCCTGCGGACTGAAAGGTCCCAGGTTCGATTCCAGTCAAGGGCATGTACCTGGGTTGCGGGCACATCCCCAATGGGGAGTGTGCAAGAGGCAGCTGGTCGATGATTCTCATCAATGTTTCTAACTCTCTATCCCTCTCTCTCCTTCTCTGTGAAAAATCAATAAAATATATTTTAAAAAAAACAACACGATTTTCAATTGGTGTGCCACAAGGGCACTAACCTCTTTTCCTTTAGATCAGTGGTCAGCAAACTGTGGCTCTCAAGCCACATGCGGCTCTTTAGCTCCTTGAATATGGCTCTTCCACAAAATACCACATGCAGGTGCGCATGATTGAAACTTTGTGGCCCATGCACAAAAGAAATTTCAATCGTTGTACTGTTGATATTTGGCTCTGTTGACTAATAAGTTTGCCGACCGCTGCCTTACATTGTCAAAATGACAACTGCCAATACAATAGCTGTCAGGTATGAATCAAAATTATAACATTTTGTCAGATCAACAAAATATATTTTTGTGTGTGCGCACCACAGAATTTTAGCAATTCGTTTTGTGCCATGGTGTTTCCCAAAGTGTGGTACGCGTATGCCCAGGGGTTCGGGAAGTTTGATGGGGGTACGCATTGCACCGGAGTTTGGTGGGGATATGCACTGCACCGTGCTTAGCTGCGCCTAATTCTACGTTCACAGGAGTACGAAGAGTACTCAGTGTTACGAAAATTATAGAGGGTACACATGTGAAAAGTTTGGGAAACACTAGTTACAATAATGAAGGTAAGCATACTGTTATTTATCACTGTGCCCCCCTACCGTGCCCCCCCCCCCAAATAAAAACCCTGTATAAAGGAAGTCTGAAGCTGACCAACTCTGCTGTAGACGCCCATTATTACCACATGGGCTATAGTGAACAGGTGAGAACTCAGTCCTCTTGAAGGTTCCAAAAGCTTGCTGTGTATGGAGAATTACTGCTGCTTTATCTTTGTGCTGCATTTGGGTCTGTGGTGTATTCAGAGCAGAACCTCCAAGTTGTTTGCACCTGGGGATGGGTTGGGAGGTATGTACAATGGGAAAGTGGTGACTAGAATGAGACCCCTATTGATTGATAGACACCACTGGGGTGAGCAATCTCAGGGTGTCCTGAGCAGGCAGGCTCACGTGTGCTAGCGCACAAATGGGCTGCACTCATGCTGAGTGCCCAGGTTGGAGCATGGGCACCCAGAGCAAGCCTGAGGGTTTTCCTAAGTGACTCCATCAGCAACAGCCAACTGAGCACGTGGCACTGGGAATAATTAAGCATGGCAGAGCAGACCTAAGGGTGTAAGTCCACATCTTTTCACTGCCAAAGCTAAGTGGCAAATTAACTTTGTTTTAGGACTCTTGTTGCTATACCTTGTGCACTGATGTAGTAGAAACCAGTCTTATCAGTGTTTGCATAATTAAGTTTTAAATTAGATAAAATTACTGATTTATAACGTGAAACTAACTCTATAAAGGACCAACTACACAGCAGCGTTTTTAGTTACCCACAGATTGGTCAGTGTATCTTGGAAGGTGCTGGAATGCTATCACTGTGCCCTCAAGGTTTCTGTGAGAACTACTTTGATTACAGCCTCCTCTTGCACGGGTAGGTAAGGAATCTTGTTCACACTGCTGCATTCCTGAAGGACTGTCTAGGAGCAAAACAGGTTCCTGGAACTCACCTAAGCCAACACTGTCGTTTTATATGCAGAGAACGAGGCTTAGAGCTGGCTCTCCGGACCACCCGGCTGACTGGGATATGCACCTCTTCCCCCATCTCAGGATGCAAGTAGTGTTAATTCATTTAGTTATTAATAGGCAAAGTATACACAATATTATATGTATATAAAAGTCATGTTTCTATTACATTTATATTGGGTGGGGCAAAGGTAGGTTCATACAGTTTAATACAAATAAATAATACAAAAATAAACTTTTCTGTACTCACAACTATAAACCTACTTTTGCCCACCCCTGTATTTACTGTTATAACTATTAATAAGCAAATTAATGCTACTAGACGAAACCAAAGGTGTTAAACGTGAGAGTTTGCTTTCCCTTGGATGCAGTCTTTTTCTAAAATCTGAAGCTCCCTGATAGATGCCAACAGTGGGAAGTTGTTCAAGTATTATTTATTCAAAGTTGAAAAATGTACCATACTGCATAATTGCAAAAACTTACTGGTACAAAACACTTTGCAGCTGGTGAGAAGGCATAAAAAGTTGATGTCTAAACTCATTACTATAAATTATTCTTACAGTACATTGCAAATTCAGAATTTCAAAATGCATTTTTTTCTAAATTGCCCACAGTACTCGAGGTTCCTGAAGCTAAGGCAGCTGTTTTGGAGGAGGCAGGGAGGAGGTAGCAGACGTCAAGGGATCTCCATCTCACGCTCGATGCCCACGTACTTCAGGGCGTCAGCTTGGCTGTATCTGAAACGGCAGGAGACAGGCGTGACCCCGGCCCACCGAGGTGAGAATGAACACAACCACCCACTTACTTCAGTGGGTGCAGAGAAAGGCACACACATCCAGTGACACCCAGCTGCACACCTCATTCACCGCGTCCTCCCACTCCAGCACAGTGTGTCCTCGGGCGCTGTCCCACCTGCTTTGGGTCGTACCTTCAAAGTGACAACACACGGGCCCTAGTTTATGACAACTCAGGACTCAAAGACGGAACTTCCATTCAGCCTCAGGATTGCACTAGACAATCACCTGACTACATTCAGGAAAGTTTAATAGCTTTATCAATTTATCCCACAGAGCCAACAGTGTAAACGGCCAACCTGATGCCAGACCTGTGAACACCATCTGAGGGTGAGCAGGTAGGTTATTGGCCAACAGTCCTCCAGCACTGAACGATTTAAGACAGCCCGAGCATATCCTCAAGGACAGCAAGGTGGGGCTAAATTCTTTTCACTCTTTATCTTTAAAATAACCAGTGCTTATATAATGGAAGCTACATCCTAACTTCCCCCCAACACCCAAGGCAAAAAAATAGCCTAAGATTAGACGCTGCAACAACATAAGACCCAGCAAGAGAAGAGAGTCAGCCTCTGTCCCCAGTTCTGAGTCCAGGAGAAAGCCCTCAGGTCACACCAGAAATGCACTGTTACTAACCTGTAATCAAAAAACAGCTCTTCACCAGTCTGGATGGCTCTCTTCGCAAAGATCCCTATCCTGTGATCACCGTTCACCATCATAACTAGAAAGAGACATGCTGGTGTCAGTGAGGGAAGGGACAGTCACATAGGAAATCTGTCTAGGCCGTGCATCACTATCACTGGGGGTACTGGCATCAGAACAGAAATTCTGACTCCAGAAACACCTACCTTTTGCATAGCAGTTTGGATTGACTGAATGATTTGCAAAACGAATTTTGTTACCCTTACGGGTTGCATCCACCACAAAATCTAAAGAAAAAATAAGCACAATGCAGTGAATAATTCTAGTTTTAGATCAATAAACACAAAGTCCCTATGATTCTGGAAATACAACTGGTTATAGTTCTTCGGGGTTTGCCTTCAAAAGCAAGTAAATCATTCAGCCAACTTTGTCCAAATGATATTTGCAAGAAAATGCTTTTCTAGGTAAAATGGATAATTCAGAAAAGTTGTTACCTAACTGTAAATATGTATTACTGAGCAAAATATTGCCCAAAAAAGGAATTTAGATTCTTCTCAACTTCAAGGATAAGCATTTTTGTATTTAAAATTAATTTTCATTCTGTTTGGGAAACTTGTTCATAGCAAAACCTCTGTTTCAACCAAAGGTTATCAGAATGTCCTCACCTCCCAAGAAAGCAGCACGTTAGCTGTTCAGGAAGTGTTGAAGAGGCTTTGAAATTTGAAGAGGCTCCTCCCCCCAGGTCAGAGGCATTAACTGGAGGAAGTGTGCCCAGCTGACTCAAAACCCTGGGATGTTCCACAGCCCATGTCTTGTATAGCTCAGAGTTCCCGAGACACTGCCCTTGAACATGACCTGCTCCTCCCCACAAGTGATGGCAACAACCCATTTTTAAGTTTCTGCCAGGGCATGAGAAACACCAGCTCAAAATATGAATGATGGGACTCCCAAGTGCCACCCAGAAACTGAGTACTCTGACTCCTAAACATACCGTTATTCAAGTTGAAGAGAAAGCTGCACATGTATTTATCATACACTTTGCCTCTTCTGTCGGCTTCATCTTGAGAAATTATCTTAAGAAGAAGGACAGTGTTAGATTAGGGACCAAACCACACTACAAGTTCATCAAGAGAACTGGAGCCCTGGCTGTTTTGGATCAGCGGTTAGAGCATTGGACTGAAGAGTTGCGGGTTCAAATTCCTGGTCAAGCACATGTACCTCAGTTGTAAATTTCCCAGCCCTGGTAGGAGCGAGTGCAGACGGCAACCAATGTGTCTGTCTCCCTCCCACTCTCTAAAAAATTGATATTCTCTAAAGAATATCCTTGGGTGAGGGTTAAAAAAGAGAGAACCAAACCTTCCTGAGGAAATTCAATAAAGGGTCAGTAAGGCCAGTTTCTTCAGATTGCAAGCTAGTGTGGCAAAGAACAATGGACTTGAAGGACTTCAACTCAAATATTTCTATAATTACTCTTGTTCTACAAAAGTCTTTCTATAATTACTCTTGTTCTACAAAAGTCTTTCTACTGAACGAAAAACTCAAGGTGGGCTGATTTCAAACTCAAGCTAGCATTATGGCTTTTTCTAACCCTATAAAAAGGCACATGATTAATGACATTCATTTCTAAGTCCTTAATAAGGAGGCTGTGGATTATGTATGAGAGACTCATCACAAACCTCGTGTACTTCCCCCGTCCCCCCTCGTCATCAGATAAAGGCTAAATGTGACTAGGATTGAAACAGCCGAGTTGCCAAAAAAGGCATTTTGTGTTAATTCATTTTTTATTTTATTTTTTTTTAATTTCCAAAACAAAGTTGCTACATAGCAAGCCCAGAGCTTACCTCTCCACAGTATTCCGAGATGAATTCATTTTTCTGTACAGGATCTTTGATGAAAATCCCCCAGCCAGCCACATCAGATGGTGCCAGCAATAAATGCTAAAAAACAAAGCAACAGTCATTTAATCAGAAGAGCAAAGTGGACTGTTGACAAGATCCCAGGGTGAATCCCTATAAATCCTCTGACTCCTTGTAGACACCAAGAAACCTGAATTAAGAGCCTGTGATGAGAGGTAAACTTCCCCATTTTTGCCAAAGGGGCTGACAAGATGCAATGCTTTCGGTTATTTGTAAAGTACAGAATGTAAGATCTACCTCTAGATCAACTAACCATCCTTCAACAAGGGCAGCTGCCCTTGCACATTCTGTCATTTTGGCAGCACTTAATGATTCACTTCGACGTGCATTTCATACAAGGACAACAAATCCCCTCTCCCCACAGTGACACCCCTCCCCCCCTTTTATTTCTACTAAAACCAAAAAGCTCAGCTGTTCCTCTCACAACGGCATGGAGAAATGACAGGAGGTAGTGTCACTATCTCATCAGCCCAGCATTCTGTTCTTAGCAGATGCCAAATGACGAGCAGGGCCAATTCTAGTTAGAGTATGTCTGGGAACAAATTTCTCACTTTCCACCGTGGTTCATCATGTTTTCATCCCAAATTTCCTTTAAAAAGGCCCCTACCTAATCATGCAAGCTATTGCTATTCTAATCCAGCCTAGATTCCCAAAACTTCCCAGATCAGAAACTAAATTAGCTAATAAATGAAACCCAGTTGGTAAATAACTACAGTTTTCTGCTTTCAAAGTTAAACTATCGGGTCTAGTAATAATTAATGTCGTTTTTAACATTCGTTTAAAATCTTGCTTGGCGTTGACTTGTATTGACATAACCTTCAAACACGTGGTATCTACAGAACGTGTGAAGTGCAATTAACAAGTTTTGCTTGAAAAAGTTTGTTTGGTTTGGTTTTTGTTGCAAAACTAGGGCTAAGAAGATGGCGGATGAAGAGCATATTCGGCACTGCATGCTTTACGAGTTCCAATTAGGAAGAAAAGCAAGTGAGGCTGCAAAAAACATCTGTAGGGCTCTTGGTCAAGATGCAGTTAGCGCCAGAAAATGCCAGCGTTGGTTTGAGAAATTTCGCGAGGGAAATGTTTCATTAGATGACAAGAGTGGTCGAGGCCGTGTGTCCAATTTTGATCAAGAAGCTCTTCAAGCTCTTTTGGTGCAAAATCCTCAAATTACCCAACAAGAGCTTGCGACAACTTTCAATTGTTCACAAAAAACAATTTCCAATCAATTGCGTGCACTTGGCAAAGTCCAAAAGTTTGGAAAATGGGTTCCTCATGAGTTGACCGACAACAACCATAATCAAAGAGTCACAATTTGCAGTTCGCTCCTCTCTCGTCAAAATCGTTTGCCGTTTTTAAAGCAAATTGTTACCTCTAATGAAAAATGGGTGCTGTATGTTAATTTGAAAAGGCGGCCTCAGTGGTTGGACAAAAATGAGGCTCCGCAGCCCACGCCAAAACCTGACTTGCATGCGAAAAAAGTTAAAGGAATTCTTCATTATGAACTTTTACCATCTAACCAAACCATTACAAGTGCAGTGTATTGTGCCCAATTGGAAAGGTTAGCCCAAGCTTTAAGAGAAAAAGAACCCGCGCTGATTAATCGGAAGGGCGTAATTCTTCACCACGATAACACACGACCGCATACTGCAAGAATCACTGCTGAAAAACTGCGCCAGTTGGAATGGGAAGTTCTCCCTCAACCTGCATATTCTCCTGATATTGCCCCTTCCGATTACCATTTGTTTCGTTCTTTGCAAAACTTTCTTCTTGGAAAAAAATTTAATAATGAAGAATGCCTCAAAAATGCATTGACCGAATTTTTTGCATCAAAATCACAAGAATTTTACAACAGAGGGATTAAAATACTTCCTGAGCATTGGGCACAAGTAGTAGAAAACAACGGCAACTATATTGTTGATTAAATTTTGTTGTATTGTTTAAATAAATTCGATTTAAAAAAGTATTAGAAAACGACATTAATTAGTACTAGACCTAATATTAGTTAGGGGCAGGAAATATAATTTTTTTTTTTAGGGTTCATCATGGATCTGCCAGGGGAAACAGTAGAGAATCATTGCAACAGAATGACCTCAATGGATAGGAATTACCCAGAGAAAAGCCATCTAAACACTTGGAAACAAGAGCCAAAAAATAAGGAAGGCACTGTCAGAACAGGGACTCCTGGTAGGAAGAGGCGGGGCTATAAGTAGTGCAGTGGGGTGATCTAATTCATGTGACCCAATGTGGAGGTCAACAGTGGGGCTTGGTATTCCACTCCTTTCAAGTCCTCAAACTCAGGGATTCCCAATCTAGAAATCAGTTCATTGAAGGTACTCCCTTCATGGAGTTATGAGGACTACTGAGTAATGCACAGGGCATTTAGCCAAGTGCCTACTATATCTTAAATAATAAATGCCAGCTATTATAATAAAAATGATAAATGCACCACCTACTCAAAAAAAAAAAAAAAAAAAAAAAAAGGCCGTGACCTTCCCCAGCATACATTGTTAGTTTCCTTTGCTTGGTACTGAAGGTCATGGTTGCTACAATTAAACATTACCTGCATGCACTTCCCAGTTTTGTAATTCCTGCTGGTCATGTTTTCAAGGTTATTAAAAGAACAGTCTGAAAAAACTACTGTGGGAAATTTTATCTCTTGTTCTGCACAAAAGGAAAATTGGCTACTATTTAAAAGAATGGGTCTCATTCTCATTGAGGAGAATCCAAGATGGCTGCTCGGGTAGGCACCTAGCCGAGCTGCACACAACAATTTCAACAAAATACAACTAAAATATAAAATGGACATCACCCAGAACTACAGGAAAGTTGACTGACTGGAAATTCTACAACGAGAAGCAAGGAGAAAACCAGAAGGAAGCGCGGAGGAGCTGGGAAAGCCTAAGGTACGGAGACACGCGGTGCGTGGAGAGGACGGAGCCGGAGAGGAGGGCGGCGGAGTGCCTGGCGGGCGTTCCCTGGCGGGAAGGAGATAAAATTCCGAATGTGCTGGCCCCCATTCTGACTGCTCTGAACCCCAGGCCTAGGCCAGACCCCGGGGACCCAGGCTCACACAGAGGGAGCCGGGCTGAAAGGCTGAATCCCGGGGAAGAGGCGAAAGGAGGTCCCGGCGGCGGCGGCGGCGCCGCGCAGAGAAGGGCCGGCCGGCTGTGCCGCGGGATTGCCTGGCGGGAAGGAGACAGGGGCTCCAGACTGCTCTGAACGCCACCTCCAGCTCCACTTCCAACTGAACTGAACCCCAGTTTCGGGACCATTGGGGGAGAGACTAGACTGTTTGGTAGCAGGCGAAAATCAAGGGCGCCTTTCTCTCAGAGGCGCTTACAACAAGTACTGAAGGACCCTGAGTCTCAGGAGTCGCGTAGGGCGGGGCTGACGGAAGCCAAAGCTATAGGCTCCACCCTGAAACCCCGCCCCATCAGGAAAGCTGCCAGCGAAAATGCCCAAACCAAATAGATCACAAACGAAAGAAATGGAGGACAAAAAGCGACTGGATATAGAGTTCAAAACCACACTTATAAGGTTTTTCAAGAGTTTCCTAGAAAAGGCCGATAAAATAAATGAGACTTATGAGGATATGAAAAGGGATCAACAAGAAATAAAGAATACATTGTCTGAAATAAAAACTATTATACAGAGTCCTAAAAACAGAATAGAAGATCGCAAGAATCAAGTCAAAGATTTGGAACATAAAGAGCCAGAAGATACTCCTCCGCAGAAGCTAGAAGGCAAGAGAATCCAGAAAATTGAGAATCAAGTCAAAGATTTGGAACATAAAGAGCCAGAAGATACTCCTCTGCAGTCGCTAGAAGGCAAGAGAATCCAGAAAATTGAAGATGATGTAAGAAACCTCTGGGACAACTTCAAACGATCCAACATCAGAATTATGGGGGTCCCAGAAGATGAGAGAGAGCAAGATATCGAAAACATATTGAAAGAAATAGTGACAGAAAACTTCCCCCACCTGGGGAAAGAATTGGACTTACAAGTCCAGGAAGCACACAGAACTCCAAATAAAAGGAATCCAAAGAGGACCACACCAAGACAAATCATAATTAAAATTCCAAGAGCAAAAGACAAAGAGAGAATATTAAAAGCAGCAAGAGCTAGGCAGATAGTTACCTATAAAGGAGCACCTATACGATTGTCAGCTGATTTCTCAACAGAAACCATGCAGGCCAGACGGGAATGGCAAGAAATATTCAAGGTGATGAATAGTAAGAACCTACAGCCAAAGATAATCTATCCAGCAAAGCTATCACTCAAATTCGAAGGTCAGATAAAGAGCTTCACTAATAAAAAAAAGCTAAAGGAGTTCATCACCACCAAACCAGAATTATATGAATTGCTGAAGGGGGTTCTTTCAGAAGAGAAAGTAAATAAAGATAAAAATTATGAACAACAAATACGTAACTATCAACAAGTGAATCTAAAAACCAAGGAAATTAAAAAAAAATCTGATGAACAATATTAACTGTTGAATATAATAGAATCAGAGGTATGGAAGGGGAGTGAACTGATGATTCTTGGGGAAAAGGGGAGAAGGGGATGTGGGAAGAGACTGAACATAAACTGTGCACCTATGGATGAGGACAATGGGGGGTGGGGAAAGGGCAGAGGGTGGGGTGGGAAGGGACATTTGTATTAATATGAACAATAAAAATTAAGAAAAAATAAAATAAAATAAAATAAAAAAATAAAAAAAATAAAAAAAAAAGAATGGGTCTCTATATTCTGATAGGAATGCCATTTATTTGCAGTAAGGAGAAGAGATAAATGACTAGTAGGTCTGAATTTTTTTTAAAGTTTAGCAAATAGAATTAAACAACTAGAAAAACTTATTATTCTAAACCTGAAACCGTTCACAGCTGGTTCCTCCTATGCTACTCAAGGAGAAGCCCAGGGTCTCCCTTCCAGGGGCATCATTCATTCAGAGATCACTCTTTGGCCCAGCTAATGGAGTGAGACTGCTGGCCTTGCCCTGCCATGTTCCTCATCCCTTGACGCACCTTCTTAGAGCCCCGCTGGATGCTGCAGTTCTTGCAGGACACGTTCTTGCTGTCCCAGTGGTCAGCAGCTCCACACGTAAGACACAGGTCGGGGTCGCACTCCCGGACGGCCAGGTAGCAGGGGCACTGCTTGGTGTTGCACTGTGCTTTGCAGCGGCAGCCAGGAAATCGGTTCTGACCTGCAGAGACAGTCACCGTCGTGGACTCATGGAACCCTCACAGCAGCCTCCCTATCCTGCTGCACAGATGAGGAGAAACTTCCTGTGTATCCGAGCTTCGTGTGCCGCTTCCGTCACCACCCTTATGACAAGTTTGTTTATTCTGAAAACTGAACCACCCCAACTCTGACAATTTCTGGTTCCCAGAAAGTATTTGGGCAGCTATTTCTATTCCCCTTACATTCTGTGCCAACATCACTATGATTAAATTTAGAGATCAACAGCTCCTTTCATCCCATTAGCCTGAACACTGGCTGGACACTGGCTCTGCAAGAGCTGCCATGTTGTGTCAACTTCAGTTACTATTTTTTTGCAGGTTGTGGGCTGCACATAGCTGACCAAAGGCCCACTTAATTCTCATGCAATTGCATCAAAGCAACAAATACTTACACTCTGAACTACACTGACAAAACTTTTCACAAAAATTCTGTGCTATCACACAAGGGCACGAACTGTCACAAGGCTGCCGTGGATGGTCACAGGGTTGGTAGTTGTAAACGTGGTTAGAGGAGCCGTCTGCATCAAGACAACGGCATGTGAGTCAATCAGAGGTGGGAGATGATCATACACAAGGAACATGAACACATTCTTTCTGTTACCTTGGAGCTTAGCAGGTTTTCCCTACCTGATACATTTCCTGTCTACAAAACGATAGCCGAAAGCACCCCCGCCCCCAGCGCAGGTCCCCGGGCTCCTTTACCCACCTGTGACGCGCCTTCACTGCCCAAGACTGGCAGTATAATCAACAGACATCCTCCGCTTAATTTAGCTTAGTGTACAGAAGTCAATTATATAGATTATAAGCTCTAGCCCAGTTACTATTCTGAAACATGATAAGCAGACATTTTTAAGTTGAATGAATAGATGCCTACCTTTTTTCAGCTGTATCTTTCTGCAGTGCGCAGCCCACAACCTGTAAAACACGACGAAGAAAACAATCTTCTCCAGGAAGCTAGGAAGAATGGTCAGCACAAATCCCAGAGCCTCCTTGAACAGGTCTATCTGCCATGTACAGAGCAGTGCCTTAAATCCAAGTGACTGTGAGAGACGCAGCTTGCATTCATTTGTGGGGACAAGGGAATCTGTGACCAAGAGCCCTGATATGTGCACTTTGCAAGGTCACCTAGTCAGAACTGAGGGTGGCCACGCCTTCATGTGCAGGTCCCATTTCCCTACTGGTTCATTCTGATGTGGATAATATTGGTACGTCTCAAATTAGCTCCACGGTCAGAAATAATTCAACCAAAAATTCAGAATTATCTATTAAAGCCTAAATTCTGTTGGAAAACATCTAAGTTCTTTCAGTTCTAAATTAAAGAAAAGGAACAGCAGGTACACACATTTCTAGATGCTCCCTTACCCAACACCCCCAACTGCAGAAAAACTGGGAGAAGAGATTAAAGCTGGCAGTCCAGCCACCATCTTCTGGCTCTGCATTTACAAAGCAAGTCACCCATCACTCACTGCCACAGGCCTTGCGGAAAGGTAATGTGGCTCCTCAAATACAAACCAGTGCAGAACTCATACATCACACTCACACTCAGCGCAACACCTTAGAACAAATTAAATGTTTGCTTAGCCTTTACTGTAGAAGTTACTAGGTTTGACTCAACCAAAAGCAGCAGAGTAAGCATAATTTTCATGACTCTTAACACACCAAATCTACTGACACTGCTGTATTCTTACAGAAGAACATCAGCAACTGCTCGTGGAAACAAGACTCCACAAGTCTACTCCACAGCTTAAGTTCCTTTCTTAAGGGGCCAAGTAGAGGCTGGCCAACGCCCTTGGACACACCTGGCCTGCAGCATCCTGGTGACATTTCAGAATGGCCACAAGTGGACTTACCGGTGTTTTCTCTTCTTCTTCCTTGGAGGAGTATCGACATCCTCAGCAGGAACGGGAGCTATGATGCTGGACTCTTTGACCCGAAACTCATACACCTGGACAAGAGGCACAGTCACAGCTGTGAGGATCGTAGTGGTAAGCAAACTTACACATTCTTTTACTAATTAATATCAGAAACATGTTTCTTCTGTAACACTGCTTAACTGCTAGGGACAACAGAGGGCAAATCAAGATGTTGTCTCAACTCTCATGTAAGGACAGCAGCTGGGCTTACATTATGATCAATAGCCCTGAGGCTTAATCTAAATACTCACTGGCTTTTTAAATCCATTGTCACCTATCCTGAAATATCTAGTCAGAAGAATACTTTTCTCAGTTCCCTCTCAGTGGGAAAACAAAAACGAAAAAATGCACTTTTCAGATGCACATCAGGTTAAAAATTAAGACTATTCTTACATTTGAACAAGGATTACATATCCCTCCTCTCTGAAAATATTTATTAATCAGCATACTTACCTGTCTACATGTTTTAGTCCCAATTAACCTGGCAATGGCGCAGAAGTTGTCGTAGTAGGTACCGATGAGGACCCGGAACATGGAGGCCTCCGCCCCGCTCCACTCCACATTCTCAGGGGGCTCACTGTTTGGCTTCATCTTTATTGGCGTTTGACATCGAGAATTTGCTTCTACAAACCAAAGTTAAGCATTGGTCAGGAAATGACAACTGCAGAACACAGTATCAAGAAGTAAAACTCGGTCCTAACCGGTTTGGCTCAGTGGATAAGAACATTGGCCTGCGGACTCAAGGGTCCCAGGTTGATTCCGGTCAAGGGCATATATCCTGGTTGTGGGCATATTCCCAGTAGGGGGTGTGCAAGAGGCGGCTGATCAATGTTTCTCTCTCATCGATGTTTCTGACTCTCTATTCCTCTCCCTTCCTCTCTGTAAAAAAACAATAAAATTTAAAAAAAAAAAAAAAGTAAAACTCGGGCTGTGCTTAAGAAAGAAGCAGAAAAAGAATCATGTTTGAGGACAAACTGGAGTAGAAAGTGTCACTAAACTTTTTCCCACAGAACAAGGAGCCTAGGCTTCTTTCAGGACAAAGGCAGATGGGCTGTTCTGTTATTTGTGGTTAAGTCACAGGGTAAGACACCTAAAGCCCAGTCAGGAAAATAACCAAAACGACCCACAGAACATGAAGGATATTAAGCCAATTGGCATGAGCCCCACCCTGGAGGAAATGGCACACTGGAAACAGATGAACCTCGAAACCTCAGTGACCAGACAGCAAACAACGTAGACAAGCCAGGGGCAGAGGACAGCAACAAGAACACGCTGTGCATCCTTCCTTAAGAGTGCCCTGGCCGCCGAAGCCAGTTTGGCTCAGTGGTAGAGCATCGGTCTGCGGGCTGAAAGGTCCCGGGTTCGATTCCGGTCAGGGGCATGTACATTAGTTGTGGGCATATCCCCGGTAGGGGGTGTGCAAGAGGCAGCTGGTCGATGTTTCTCTCTCATTGACGTTTCTAGCTCTCTCTCTCTCTCTCCCTTCCTCTCTGTAAAAAATGAATAAATTAAAATTTAAAAAAAAGAGTGCCCTGGCCTTAGATTTCTCATTTTATTGAAAACCAACCAGCGAGGTAAATTATTCACTCTAGCACATGCCCTTACTCTCCACAATGTGGACCTTCCAAAGCAGTGGTAAAGCCAACCATCAGGTCCCTACCGGAGGAACTCGAAGTTTCGTCTTTTTTCTCCTCCTCTTCTTTATCATTGTTCTCGCCACCTGTTTCGGTCCCAGCTTCCCTGTCACTGTCCGTGTCCTTTGACTCCAGCACATTAATGGTGGGGGTGCTGGGCCTGCTGCTGTTGTTGGGAAGCCTCCCTCGTCTGCGACCTCCTGGGCGTTTGGGGGGCGTCTTGATCCGCTCGGCAGTGAGGGCGGCAGCGAACTCCTTCGCTCCCTCCTATGAAGTGAAACATGGAGGAGATATATCAAGGTCAAGTTCCACGACTCATTTGTTGAAGAAGAAAACAAAAGATTGGATAAGCAAAGGAGTCAAGAAATTTAACACAGAATCCATTTTGCACAAATAGTTGCATCTCTAAATATGCTTGTTCCCTACTTCTAATAGTGTGGAAAGTTCAGAAAAACAGAAATGGGTTCTATATATTGCTAGAGTGTTGTGAAATCAGGCAAGACAGTTCTATATTTGTGAAATGCATTAACTGGTTAGTAAATTAAAATATAAAATATATTTTTACATATATAATTTCTTTACAAGTGAAATTTTATGAGGAAAATCATATACTTCCTGTGCATCTAGAGTCAAACTTTCCTAATCTAGCTGGGGTTTCTAAGATAGCACATGCTTCTATGGTCATGGTTAAAATACACAAGAATAAAAACAAACATGCTGGACTTTGTCATTTCCTGCCTTACTATTAAAATATCCCATTTTTTTCCTGTAAGGGATACACACCCCCAGGAAGACACTTGAGGATCAAGGCTGCGAGGATTACATCTGTATTACGAAATGCAATATCCAGTCTCAGAAAGTATAAAACAATGGGGAGAGCACTGACTATAGAGAGACCAGAGAAACATTTCAGATGAGCCAAATAAATTCTACCTTGTAAAGAATATATAAAATAAGTGCTCAAGAATCCCATTTTTAGTGGCAATAGAAGGGAGAAGTTTGAGAGCAGCCAACAGTTTTATACTTCATTCTACAAAAACCAAATTGCTTAAAAATAGGATACCTTCTGCAGGTGCCATTCAATGAATCTTCTGTCCAAAATCCAACAGGCAATATATACCCACTTAGTTCCTAGGTAGGAGTGGCTTGGTTCAAAGAGGGGAAATGGTAAAAATAAGATAGTACCCATAAAAAAACAACTTTTCTACCTCATTATTTCCCTAAACCTTTACCTTTTCTCCATTTTTATTTTATTTTATTTTATTTTTTATTCTGTAGGTCCTATAATACAGCTTAAACAACGGTCTAAAACTCAAAGAAAGGCTATGGCTCTGAGAAAGGCTTAGGACCATTATGTGTGACTATCCAGTTCCTGGGTTTAGGTTGGCTATCTGGGTTGCCAACCTAAATAAATTCTGGAAAGTGTAACGTTAGTGTCCTCGATCCTAAAGACCTTGAATTGCAGCTGTAGAAATTAACACATACACAAAGACTAATACAAGATCAATGAAGGACTAGTGTGTGCAGTACATGAGAGCTACGAGAGACACATGGGTGAAACCTCTGCCTACCGTGTGGCCAGGAGAAGCACAGGGGAGCCACAGTGTTAATGCTGACTGCACACACCTCACCCAGTTCAGAATCAGCACTTTCAATGCCCTTGAGGAACAAGTGGCACTCAAGCTTACCAAATGCTGGTAACACTGTGGTCCACAAGGCTTGTTGTCCAGAGCCGTTTCCGTGTTCTTCCGCTTGTAAGTGTTCGGTGTTGCGTGAAAAGCTGCAAAATAAAGATAAAATATCCAAATATAAACTATTTACTTCTTCATTTCCCCCGTTTCAATGGGAAAAGTCAATGAATACATTCCAGTCTTGCTAATTCTTGATTCACATCCCAGAACCTTCCTTCCAGCTCTTGACTGAATTCTCACCATGTGTTTCCTTCGACTCCTGCAGGGCGCAAACACTGCATTCTGGAATGATTAGTGGTTTCTTATATTTCTCTTCACAAGTATAACTGATGCATGTAAACTCTGAACTCTAGTCATAAACATTTGATATCTCCATAGAAACAACTAATATACCCTCTACAACAAAATCAGATTTCCTATTTTTGCCAAAAGTATTGACATCTACAATTATTTTATTATTATTATTTATAAAGAAAAGTCAGCAGTCTGTCAAATGGGGGAGAAGAATGGATACAACATGTTAAAAAGCTAATTTTTAAGCCCTAGCCAGTTTGGCTCAGTGGATAGAGCGTTGGCCGGTGGACTGAAGGGTCTAAGGTTTGATTCCAGTCAAAGGGCATATGCACAGGTTGGTGGCTCAATCTCCAATAAGGGGCATGCAAGAGGAGGCAGCATCAATCATTCTCTCTCATCATTGGTGTTTCTATCATTCCCTCTCCTTTTCTCTCTGAAATCAATAAATATATATAGATATATAGATAGATAGATATTAAGTATATTTTATTGATTTTTTACAGAGAGGAAGGGAGAGAGATAGGACTGCTGAAGCCAGTTTGGCTCAGCGGTAGAGCGTCGGTCTGCGGACAGAAAGGTCCCAGGTTCGATTCAGTCAGGGGCATGTATGTTGGTTGCGGGCACATCCCCGGTAGGGGGTGTGCAAGAGGCAGCTGGTTAATGTTTCTCTCTCATCGATGTTTCTAGCTCTCTATCTCTCTCCCTCTCTGTAAAAAAAAAATCAATAAAATATTTTAAGAAATAAATTGAATAAAAAATTCATTCTATTAAAAAATTTAAAAAAGACAGACTGATAAGAGAAGGAAAGACAATAATGTTTTTAAAAGTAGAAATTCGAGACTCAAATTCTTAAGTGCATAATTTCCCCCCTCCTCCTCCACCTCGCCCTCGCCCTCACCCCTAGAACAAGAGCCTAAACCCGTGGTCGGCAAACTACGGCTGGCAAGCCACATGTGGCTCTTTGGCCCCTTGAGTGTGGCTCTTCCACAAAATACCACAGCCTGGGCCGAGTCTATTTAGAAGAAGTGGCGTTAGAAGAAGTTTAAAAATTTTGGCTCTCAAAAGAAATTTCAATCGTTGTATTGTTGATATTTGGCTCTGTAGACTAATGAGTTTACCGACCTCTGGCCTAAACCATACAACTAACATTGCAGTGGATTAGATTTTGGACATGCAAGGCTCCTAACACACAGACTGTGCACATAAAAGGCTACAGTCACATCAGCAGCCCAGAATTACATCAATCCAAAAACAAAGCAGTTATTAGAGTTAGTGCACACAATGAGTAACACATTTTTGGTAAAATATGTTTTTAGTTGGGATGCCTCCTCTAACACCAGATACATTTGTAGACTGATATTCTCACACTAATTCAGTGAAAATAAAACGCACACATGTATCTGTAGACAGAGAAAAAAACACACACACACCTCAAGAGGACAGTAGCCTCTGGTGGTACTTAGCTAGTACGAGGTAACAGTACTTATTAACCATAATCATAGTCTCAAAGATAGGAACAACTTTAGATTATAACAAAATTAACATATTTATAATCAAAAGTACTTTAATAAACTTTAAAGTACCATTATTATGACTAGATTCCCTCAGCAGAATTTCAAACATGCCCATATAAAGAATTCCCTCTTCCAGAAATGTCCAGAATATTTTCAAATACTAATATTTGAAGTAAGCTACTAAAAAGTATTTCCAACTAGCCCAACCAACATGGCTCAGTGAATGAGCATCAACCTATGAACCAGGTTATGGTTTCATTCCTGGTCAGGGCACGTGCCTGGGTTGCAGGCTTGATCCCCAGTGTGGAGTGTGAAGGAGGCAGCCAATCAATAATTCTCTCTCATCATTGATGTTTCTATCTCTCCCCATCCCTTCCTCTCTGAAATAAATAAAAATATTTCTTAAAGTATATATTTCAAAGCTGAATACCAGTATATAGAAAAAGGGTTATATAAAAGTCCATTATCAGAAAAAATTAAGGCACGATACTTTTAAATTTTACAAGGAGCAAACATGGATATTTCAAGGCTTTTTGTTTGTTTTAATGTTGAAAGCAATCTATAAAATCTTGATGAAAAGTAATCTAAAGCCCAGCTATTATATAATCAGTAGTTGAGAGTCAACCTATGAATCAGGAGGTAGTTCAATTCCCTTCCTGTCAGGGCAACATGCCTTGTTTGAGGGCTTGATCCCAGTAAGGGGAGTGCAGGAGGCAGCCAATCAGTAATTCTCTCTCATCATTAATATTTCTCTCCCTCTCTCTCTCTCTCCCCCTCTCCCTTCCTCTCTGAAATCAATAAATATATTGTTTTTAAAAACCTATCTAAAGGTTTTCAAGCAAAAGTAAAAGTTACATACAATTCCAGCGATTCTCTATACCTGTGCTAGAGATTAAATTGCCAATACTAAAAAATAATCAAAATATAGGGTATCCTCCACCCCCCCAAAAAAAATGTATATAGAGTTTAACAGCTGATAACTCACTTGGTTTTAACTCCTTTTTGGATATAACTGATTTAAAATAATGGGTGAAGTCAAACCAAGTTTTGAACAAAGAAAATTTATCCTGACCGGCCAGGCAATAAGAGGTCACCAATTCAATTTCTGGCCAGGGCACATGCCTGGGGTTCTAGGTTCAAGCCCATCTCTCTCCCCGTCTCCCTTACTCTCTCTTTTAATAACAATAAAAACATATTTTCTTTCAAAGTATCTTAAAGTCGCCAAAACCAGTTTGGCTCAGTGGTAGAGTGTCAGCCTGCGGACTGAAAGGTCCCAGGTTCGATTCCGGTCAGGGGCATGTACGTTGGTTGCGGGCACATCCACGGTAGGGAGTGTGCAAGAGGCAGCTGGTCGATGTTTTTCCTCTCATCAACGTTTCTAGCTCTCTATCTCTCTCCCTTCCTCTCTGTAAAAAATCAATAAATATTTATTTTTTTTAAAGAGCAAAAAGAAGGAAAAAAGTTAAAGATAAAAAAAATAATAATAAATGTATCTTAAAGTGACACTAGATTTTAAAAGATAAAAGTTTATGGTAGAAGACCGGCAACAGTCAATGAATAGAGGGCACACAAATATTGAAGAAATTATTCTTGAGATTTGATTCCATTGCTTTGCATTATCAGCAGTGCCTGGACCAGAATGGTCATCAGTTTGAAAACAAGCATTGACCAAAAAAATTATTTCCATAGATTCTTTTAAATTATAAAAAATTAATTGTATTGCCGAAACCGATTTGGCTCAACACATAGAGCGTCGGCCTGCAGACTGAAAGGTCCCAGGTTCGATTCCAGTCAAGGGCATGTAACTTGGCTGTGGGCACATCCCCAGTGGGGGGTGTGCAAGAGGCAGCTGATCGATGATTCCCTCTCATCGATGTTTCTAACTCTCTGTACCTCTCTCTTCCTCTCTGTAAAAAATAAATAAAATATATATTTTTAAAAATTTAACTGTATGTTGCCAAAACGGATTTGGCTCAGAGGATAGAGCATCAACCTGCAGAGTGAAAGGTCCCAGGTTCGATTCCGGTCAGGGGCATGTACCTTGGTTGTGGGCACATCTCCAGTAGAGGATGTGCAAGAGGCAGCTAATCGATGATTCTCTCTCATCAATGTTTCTAACTCTCTCTCTCTCTCTTCCTCTCTGTAAAATAATCAATAATATATATATTTTTTTTTTTTTAATTAACTGTATGTTAATAAAGACTAACTTCATAATCATTCCAATTGCATATACTTTTTTTGGGACACATTGTATACTGAGTAGCCCTTATAATCTTGTAATGTTTCAATAAATAAGTGATGCCTCAAATACAGAAATGGTGAATCCAAGGATCAGCACTGGAACAAACATTAGTGATCATCTAATTCCAGTAAGGGGAGTGCAGGAGGCAGCCAATCAGGAAACAGGAACAAAGGCAATAATTTGTGCAAGTAATTGTTTGGCAGCAGGTGTGACCAGACACTCACTCCTCACTGAATGGACAAAGAGAGCAGCTTCACATCAGACACCACTTCTCTGAAATACTTCTTCAGCTTGCTATCATGTGACAAATGATGAGATCAGTACAAGTTATCAGTTTTATATATTAACTTCTGTTCAAACTACTGCTGTTGTCTGCTCTGATTAGAGCTTGGTACTAAGAATGAATTCTTACTGAATACTTACATATGCAATCACATAAATTCTTTTGTGTATATGACAGATATCAGACTTTTAATAATCAATTACTCACAGAACAACAATACCAACATTCCAACATGGGAAAGCAGTGACAGGAGCAAACAGAATTCTGTATTCAAAAGCACACAGTAGGAAGCTTAGGGCATTATCTCATTTAATCCTCACAAAATACCCAGGTATTATATCCACATCCCCATTTCACAGATGAGGAAAACAGACTTAGGGAGGTTTAGTCACTGATAATTACAAAGCAAATATGAACTCGATTATGTCTGAAGTTTTTTTTAACTATTACACAGCGAAAATAAAAAAAAATTTTAAAAGGCAGCCATCAATTATAAACTTGAAATATCTTCTTTGATGTTCTAACCAATTAAAATGTTAAAATCTCAGCCCTGGCTGTAGTGGCTTAATTGGTCGGATGCTGTCCCAGACACCAAGAGTTTTTTTGGGCTTCAATTCCAGGTCAGGTCAGGCTTGATCCTCAGTAGGAGGCATACGCATGCATGTTCTGTTCTCTTCCCCCTCTCTCTCCCTCTCTCTCTAAAAATCCATTTTTAAAATCTTTAGAAATAAATAAATGTTAAAAATCTCTACAGTCTTCAATACACATTACAAAAAAGAACATTCAAATGGACTTTCACATAATACCAAAAAGGGTAAATTAATAAAACTGGGTTTTATGCTTAAAACAGATTCGCTCTGTAGGCCATTCAGGCAATAGAAGCACATCAAAATATCACACCAAGCCCGAACCGGTTTGGCTCAGTGGATAGAGTGTCGGTCTGTGGACTAAAGGGTCCCAGGTTCAATTCCAGTCAGAGGCATGTACATTGGTTGCAAGCACATCTCCAGTGGGGGGTGTGCAGGAGGTAGCTGATCGGTGTTTCACTCTCATCGATGTTTCTTAACTCTCTATCCCTCTCCCTTCTTCTCTGTAAAAAAGATCAATAAAAAATATTTTTTTTACAGAGAGAAAACATCTATGTGAGAGAGACATATCAATATCGTTTTCTCCCCTATTCAAACTGGGACTGGGGTTTGGACCTGCAATCCAGATACGTGCCCTCTTAACAGGAATCAAACCCAAGACCCTTCAGTGTGCTGGTCAACACTGTAATCACAGAGGAACACCAGCCAGGGCAGAGCAATTTACAATATATTTTTTTTTTAATATACTTTTATTGATTTCAGAAAAGGAGAGACAGAAACATCAATGATGAGAGAGAATCATTGATTGGCTGCCTCCTGCATGCCCCCTAATGGGGATGGAGCCTACAACCCAGGCATGTGCCCTTGACTGGAATCGAACCCAGAACCCTTCAGTCCAGAGGCTGATGCTTTATTCCCTGAGCCAAACCAGCTAGGGCTACAATATTCTTAATAAGAATTAGACATATTTGCCAAAACCGATTTGGCTCAGTGGATAGAGCGTTGGCCTGCGGACTGAAAGGACCCGGGTTCGATTCTAGTCAAGGGCATGTACCTTGGTTGCGGGCACATCCCCAGTATGGTGTGCAAGAGGCAGCTGATCGATGATTCTCATCAATGTTTTTAACTCTCTATCTCTCTCTCTTCTTCTCTGTAAAAAAAATTTAAAAATTAAAAATAAAAAAAAATAAAAAAGAATTAGACATATTTTACATAATGATCATGTGTAAAGGGGAATGCTTTTCAAGGGCTATGTGAGACCCAAATAAGATATGTATTTGATAACTGTCCAACAACTATGGATTATTAAAACTACCAAATCAATTTAAATTAGATAGGAGTATGGATAACAGCAAGGAGATGGGAGACATAATGATAACTCTAAAAACCACCGTTAAGTTTTTCTAACTGATGATAACTAAACAACTTCACACACAAAAATTACTGTTTCCAAGACTAAGATGCACATCACACCACAAATCATGAGCTATGCAGATAAACGTGCACAGACAGAGCAAAACTCAACAGGAGGCAAGAACTAATGGCTTGGGCAGACTAACTCACATTGAAACGTGTGACTGGAAAATGAGGGAATATTCTATGAAAGGCAGGTTCAAACTGAAAAAGATGAAGCACCTTAGGGCCAGTTAGTGCAGAGGTGACTGGTGCAAAGCCCCTACCATGTTACCATGTCACCAACATCACACTAAAATGTGATATGGTAAAAACCTCTATATCAAGTAAACTCTGCATAGGAAACTGGGAATTATGAAATATATTTTTAAATATGTTCCTCAAAAGCAGTTGGTAGTTTTTAAACTGTGCTTAAAGAAATAAGTTCCAGTTACCTGGACAATTTGCCAAGAAACCTCATTCCCCAGCAACATAAGGAAATATTGTGTGTGCCATACTTAAATTTCATTAAGACTATTTTATGCTTTACCTATTCTCAAATGCGGGTATATTTGTAAAAGGACCAAAAAAATAAAAAATAAAAAGATTTAACACTAGATAGCTAGATAGATGATAACATCTACAAGCATCTTGAACAAATCTTGAAGAAATTGGCTAATATCAATAACACAGTGTTACCCTGGGCTATCAGCTAGTTCAAAGTAATAGTTTTTTATGAAACAACTCCTCCATTAGAATTTATGGAAAAATTACTGATCTATATCCCAGTTTAGCGGGAGATAGCAATACAAATCAAATTCGTGAAAAGACTTTGGAACAACCCACAAGCAACAAATTAAAAATAGGAAGATATTGCCAAAACAGATTTGGCTCAGTGGATAGAGCGTCAGTCTGCGGACTGAAAGGTCCCAGGTTCGATTCTGGTCAAGGGCATGTATTTTGGTTGGGGGCACATCCCCAGTAGGGGGTGTGCAGGAGGCAGCTAGTCAATGTTTCTCTCAGCAATGTTTCTAACTCTCTATCCCTCTCCCTTCCTCTCTGTAAAAAATAAATAAAATATATTTTTTAAATAGTAAGATACTGATCCTAGCACTTTTCAATCTTAACTACAAGATTAAATGATAAACTCTAGTTGTAATCAATGAAAACCATTGCCAAGTTGCTCTAAAACATAATCCCACAGCCAAGATTGAAATGAAAACAAATAACTGCACTTACGGTGTAGGAAGCAGTCGTACTTGAAACATCGCCTACAGAAGAGTGTGTGAAATGAATGCAGGCTCTGCTCCCTCTGAACAGATTTAGCATTTGGTCCATCTATGTTCGGGGTACATTCTGGAGGCAGTGCCCCTGGGAGCTGCTGCTCAGTGAGTTCTTTATACCTAAAATGAACCAAGAGAAATGTAAGTTAATGGAAAACAAAAGTTACAAGTTTCTTTTTTGTGTGGTTTTATTCTTCTAAAAGTAAAGTTTCTAAGCAGATTCCATATATTATTTTTATTTATCTTGCCTACAGCACAAAAGACCCATCAATAACCATCAGTGATGAACCAATTACACATTATGCAAGATTATCAAAAATCAAATTCATGAAAAATGTACTTATATTAAAGTTAAACATCAACTGCACTAAAATTTCTACAAGTGTTCAGAGAAATTTTCCTCTTATTTTGTGTGTTTGTGTTAAAAGGTTTTATAGGATAGAGTTCCATAGGTATATGTTTCACTTCAAGTGTCTTGGCAGATGTGACAAATGAAGCAAGTGGCTAATCAGCTCCATTAGTTCCATTTCCAATAAGCCAAATGGTGAGAGATATCCCATATAATGCGGCCTCACAAGAACAAATCTTACTTTTCTTTTAGTTCTTCTGCTGTGCCCTTATCTGGAAACATTGAGGAAATGGCTTCAAAAATTTTGTCAGAAGGAAATTTCCGAGGTGGGCAGGTTTCTTTATCTGAAAGGGGAAATATGGAAGGACAAAAAGAATGATGAAAGTAAATAAGTTTTCAAACTTTCATTTTTTTCCACACAACTATATGTAAAAAGATCATCCTCTAAGAAATTATCAACTTTGTGTTTCACTTACTTCCAATATATTTTACATCTATGGCATGACAGTTAAGTCAGACAAAAAACTTCAAAATCCAATATGGAGAGTTTTAAGCGGATTGGGAGGCAGAAAAGTGGGCAGAAAAATGGTAACCAGCTGTGTTAACTGGTTTTGTGACTTTGGTTGATCATAGACCCACTTGGGTCTGTTTACTCATCTGTAAATGAAGGCACTGAACTATACGATCACTAAGGTAGCCATTATAAAAAATGTATGCTTCTTTGAAACTACAGTTTTCACCAAAATCCTTCTATGTTGTCTTAAATAATAAGCATGCCAAATCTCCAACAACTCTTGGCTCTGACTGGGCCTCTGTTTCTCAGGTATAGAGGTTAAGAGTTTGAGCTCTGGAGTCCTCAGAGCTGGTTACTGATTATGGTGTCAGGATTGTTTTTCCCTACAGTGTGAACTTAGTAAGTTACTTCACTGCATTAAACCTCCTAACTCCTCCACTCTGAGACAGACCCACCCGTGAAGCATTATGAGGATCCAGTGAGCTGTGTATATAAAGTGATCACTACTTGTACAAAGAAGAGATCAGCATATTATCTGATGATGATTATGACTGCCCAGTGAAACCCAAAGCCAAATAAACTATTTTGTTAGTCAAAGGAAATAGACACTCAAGTGCAGAATGAAATGTTACAAATAACATCCTAATTTTGATTATACTGATATCAATGTAATTTATAACAACAAAAAAGGAATGACTGCCGAAACTGGTTTGGCTCAGTGGATAGAGTGTCAGCCTGCGGACTAAAGGGTCCCAAGTTTGATTCCGGTTAAGGGCATGTACCTTGGTTGCGGGCACATTCTTGGTGGAGGGTGTGCAGGAGGCAGCTGGTTGTTGTTTCTCTCTCATTGATGTTTCTGACTTTCTATCCCTCTCCCTTCCTCTCTGCAAAAACCAATAAAACATATTTAAAAAAAAAAAAAAAAAAAGGAACAACTATCTACTTGTACTCTAGTGTTTTTGAAAGAAGCTGTAATGGCTACACACAATCCTCACAGACATACCATCTCTGTTATCTTGCAGATCTTTCTGTTTTTCTTCTCCTTCATCAGAATCGTCTCCATCATCAGAATCATCTCCATCATCATCATCATCATCATCATTGTACTGGCCAAGAGCATTCACCAACTCCACAAAAATTTCATCATTTATAAACCCACATTCTGAAATTCACCAAGTCAAATATCAGCAATATACAGAGAAGAGAGGTAATGACAAAAGTTCACATATACCTTTTCTGATTTGTAATAGTCACACCCACCAATCAGGAACAGAATTTACCTTTAACACTGTCATTTTCTCTTTAATCATCCATCCCCCAAAAGTTTCCAGGGACTCTACTGTAACTAATTCTCTAGAAATTAATTATGGCCATGGCCTCCTCCAAAGCAATGTACTGACAGACCTTGCTTTCACTAATGATGATAACTGACAACGTGACACCTATCACCCTCCTGCCAGGCAAATTAGCAGGCTCTGCTAGACACAAAACACCAAAGCCATGATTCTAAATGACAGAATTTCAGGTACTGCAACAGCCTGGTAGGAGGAGCCCATGTTACATAAGCAAAGCCCTAGTTCTAATTAAGTTTACTAGTAAAGAATCTTAAAAAAAAAAAAAAAAAAAAATATATATATATATATATATATGTATATATATATATATATATTTACACACACACTCAAACAATTCCATTTAATTTACATATTAATATAATTTGTTATAACCAATTAAGCATAATTTTTATGTGGCAAACATGATCAACTTAAAATTAAGGAAAACACTAAAAATTTTTGGCTTGTGAGCCAGACCAATCCAGCATAAAACTTTTTATTTTAAAAATATTTTTCATATCTATGCTGAAAAAAAGAAGTATCTCTCAGTTCTTTAGACCCCTTTGCTAAAAGAATAAACCCATGGCTCACCTCTATCCCCATGTACTTTTCCATCATAATTTTTTATTAATTCTTCAATGAAAGTTCCATCCTGGTCTAAAACTTCATCCCCCATATAAGGAATGTTATGTAAAACAGTTTCATCTTCCACCTAAAATTTTTAAAAAATAATAAATTTAAATGTAGCCTTATCCTAAGTACCAAACTTTTAAAATAATGTAATAACTAAAATACAGCAATTTTTCGTAAGCAGATGTCTTTACCCAGTTCTCCAAACCTAAAATAATAAACAGTAAACTCTAAAAACTATAAAAGATCCATCTTACAAATAAGCACAATAGAGAAACAAATTTAAGGAAAAATATCGAATTTACCTAATTTAATGTCATCAAACATTAAAATTTCCCATTATTTTATGTATATGTATGTTCCTATATCTGATGATAAAGTGAAATTGATGAAATATGGTTTATTAAAATGAACTATAAATAACCATACTTTAAAAAAACCAAGCCTAACTGGGGGATATAATAGAATCAGAGATATGGAAAGGGAGTGGACTGACGATTCTCGGGGAAAAGGGGAGTGGGAGTGCGGAAAGAGACAGAACATAAACTGTGCACCTATGGATGAGGACAATGGAGGTTGGGGAAAGGGCAGAGGATGGGGTGGGAACCTGGTGGAGGGGAGCAATAGGAGGGGGGGAGGAGAGGAACATTTGTAATAATATGAACAATAAAGATTAAAAAAAAAACAAAAAAAAAAACTAAGCCCTAGCAGGTTTGACTCAGTGGACAGAGCGTCGGCCTGAGGACTGAAAGGTCTCAGGTTCGATTCCGGTCAAGGGCATGTACCTTGGTTGCAGGTACATCCCCAGTAGGGAGTGTGCAAGAGGCAGCTGATCGATGATTCTCTCACATCGATGTTTCTAACTCTCTATCCCTCTCTCTTCCTCTCTGTGAAAAATCAATAAAAATATATTTAAAAAAAAAAAATGGCCTGACCGGTTTAGTTCAGTGGATAGAGCGTCATCGGCCTCCAAACTAAAGGGTCACAGGTTTGATTCTGTTCAACAGCATGTACCTACTGGGCACATCCCCATTAGGAAGTGTGCAGGAGGCAGCTGATCAACGTTTCTCTCTTATCGATGTTTCTGACCCTCCCTTCCTCTCTGTAAAAAAAAAAAAAAAATCAATAAAATATATTAAAAAAACAAAACTAACTTAATGGTTTCTAAATTTCATTTGATCTAGTTATTGGGAGACATTCAATGTAATAAAATTCTAGGAATATAAAATAAGAGTATCGATATATCCATTAAAGTTTATGCCAAAAGGATTTACTCATTTACATAAAATAACATTCTACAATAAAAAAAATTTCAATACTGAGATGAACAGGATGCATATCAAAATTGATAATGCTAATGAAAATGACAAAATGGTTTTATACCAAGGTTTGAAAGATAATATGAAAGAAAGAGGATGCTAGCTCAGCTAGGAAGAGCAATCAAAGTTAAAGAGATAATGGAATATTTAAGAATACAAAGCACAGAAAGCTGACAATCAGGAGAATTTTCAATGAAGAATAAAAAAGACATTAATTACAGATAAAGACTAGAGAGTTCTGAAGTCTATATTTAAGGAAAACCTGGAGATAAGATAGGTCTAAGTCTTAGGCCTTTGTACAAGATAATTAAAGACAAAATTTTAGAGCCAAAACCAGATTGGCTTAGTGGATAGAGCATCAGCCTGCGGTCTGAAAGTCCTGGGCTTGATTCTAGTCAAGGGCATGTACCTTGGTTGTGGGCACATCCCCAGTGGGAAGGCGGCAGGGGGGGGGGGGGGGGGGGGTTGTACAGAAGGCAGCTGATCAATGTTTCTCTCTCATCACTGTTTCTAACTCTCTATCCCTCTCTCTTCCTCTCTGTAAAGAATCAATAAAATATATGTTTTTATAAAAAAATTTTTAGAGAGATAATTCTGATAAACTGAATGAACCGGCTGATAGGAGGTCATGGTAGCTATATAAAGTGTAAGGTGCCTTAGGTAGGGATCATAATCAATAGGCCATTGAGACACAGTAATGGTCAGGAAATACGAAGAAAGGAAAAATTTTCCAACAAATACTTGATAACAAATTCAGGACAACTGCAGATTTCATAGCTTAGACAGAGAAAAGGGAAATTGATAGAAACTATGCAAATGGGAGGTAAAATGAAAATTTAAATTTTAATGTGCTGATCTATTCAGATCAAGTTTGTGTACAACTAAAGAGTCCAGTTTTCATTGCATCTCACTTGCACTAATCCCATTTAAACTAGGTGAGTTTATTTTTTAAGATGCAACCAAAAATTAAGTGACAATAACTATTTTGTCTTCTCAATTATATCTACACAATCTTGTCCCCAAAATATACCCTAATTAATAAAGATAGCCTGTCTAATCTACTTTGGTCAGTATCCAACAAAACCCATGTATGATCTGTAAGTAATATATACTACAGACCTGATGCATGAAAGGTTCATGCAAGAATAGGCCTTCCTTCCCCTGGCTGCCGGCACCAGTTCCCTTTAGGCACCTAGGACCTGGGTCTTCCCTCTGGCCACTGCCTCCCACCTTCATTCCAGGGCTGGGAGCCACCTCCGGCCTTGGCTCCAGCCAGCCAGCGCCATCTTTGTCATGTTAATTTGCATATTCCCTCCTTATTGGCTGTGTGTGTCACTGTTTTGCCATGAGGTGATGGTCAATTTGCATATTTCATCTAGGATTGGCAACTTTAAACAGCATTCTTTTAGAATTTCAGTATATGAAAATTCCCTTAAGCTCTTGTGATATGATTCTCAAACTAAATGTTTTTGAATCAAGTCTTAATCACACAAATTTATGCAATTGTAGAATATATGAAGTTTGCCTTTAACCTCCACTATAAAATCTTTAAGTTATTAAAAACAATGTAAAAATAAGCAATTCTTTAAACTAGGCTCACCAACAACTCCATCAACATTTTGTTGCCCTATTTTATATATCAAATAATAAAACTATACTATTTTATATATCAAGTTAATAAAATTATATATTTTTATTGTACACAAGTCAAGAATGCACTCAAAATTTCTTTTGTGCCATCTTCCTTTACCCTGCTTCTATCAAGAAATACAGTGGAACTTGTTATTGAATTTAATTCATACTGAAAGGCTATTCAAGAAGCGATTTGTTCAAGAAATAAATCTTTTCCCTCATTAGAAATCCTTTAAATTGAATTAATTCGTTCCAGACCCCCAAATGATTCCACTTTAATGTTTCTTAAATACAGAACATATCTAATGTACTGTTTACTCTATAAGCAAACACTTTTCTTAAATTTATAGAACCACTCCCTAAACAAATCAGTTTCAGAACTCTTTCCAGGGTATCTTTCAAGAAGTCAGCAAGCAGCATCTTTGCTTATTATTCACATATCACTGCCTCTGAAATGCTGTCACTGAAATGCTATCTACAGCTAACTGGTTCTTGTTTATCCAAATCAACTACAGCTTTTCTACGATTCAATTGCCTGTGATCATTGTTTCTTTTATACCCTTACCAACTTTAGCACTCTTAATGGCCTCTTCATGTGTTTTTTTAATTTTTTTTTAATTGATTTCAGAGAGGAAGGGAGAGGGAGAGATAGAAACATCAATGATGAGAAAGAATCATTGATTGGCTGCCTGGCTGCCTCCCTCCTACATACCCATTCTGGGGATCAAGCTGAAAACCAGGCATATGCCCTGACCTGGAATTGAACTGCCACCTCCTGGTCATAGGTAAACTCTCAATCTCTGAGCCATGCCAGCCAGGCTATATCCTTTTTTTTATATATATATGGTTTTATTGATTGGAACCAATATGGCAGCATAGGTAAAACACCTGTATTTTATTCCTCCCACAACCACATCAAAATTATAACTAAAATACAGAACTATCATTCAGAATCACCTGAAATCTGGCTGAATGGAATGGAAGTCCTTCAACTAGAGAAGTAAAGAAGAAAGCACATAAAAACTGGTAGAAGAGGCGGAAGCACAGAACAGGTCCAACACCCACATGTGCCATTTTTTTAATTGGGAGGGATATCTCAGCTGCAGAGACCTCCTATGAGGAGTAAGGGGTCCCAGCCCCATAGCAGACTCCCATCCTAGAGTTCCAGAGCTGAGAAGAGAAGTTCCCCATAACTTTAGGTGGTAAAAACCAGCTGGAGACTGTGAGCTGTCTGGCATTGAGGCAGAAGCTTGGGGAGAGGGTTTTCTCCCAAACAAGGGTATGCACAGGGGTCATTGTTCCTGTGCTGAGACCTCCCTCCCCAATCACAGAGCTTGACTGGCAGCCATATCTGAGTTTCTATCAGCATGGCCCACACTGTTCACTCTGCCCTGGAGATTCCCCAGGACCCCGCCCATCCAATTTGCAGCCCTATTTGCAGTGGATTTTCCATATGAATATGAATGGCCTGTCCTGGCTCAGGCTTCAGACTTTGCTAAAATATCTTAAATAAGCAATAGCTGGAGCCAGTGTACCCCAAACCTCAATATAAAAGGTCCATGACCCGACACTAGCATCAGCCTGCTTTGCTTCACATTTTTCCTTGCCTGGGCACTTCCAAGCCCAATACAAGTAGCAGCCATCTGCAGATCTCTCTGTAGCTCCTGCCAGGTTGGCCACAAAGAGTGGTTGATTTTGCACCTCCCAGGGAGGCCCCAGAGTCAGTGCACCCGGTGGACAATTTGAGACCATACCAGATTACAACTCTGCACATCCACACAACACCCTCAAGGGCCAGATTCAGTGTGCACCAAAGTCCCACTGAAGCAAGTCCTGCTCCACAGGGGTGTTTCCTGCACAGCTGTTCTTCCACTATAGACACAACTGGTCCTCACAGCCAATTGGCCTGGAGGTAAATTCCTCCCAGTGATGCCAACAGCAATCAAGGCTCAATTACAATAAGACTGTGCACACAGCCCACACAGGGGTGTACACATATAGATGTACACATATAGGGGATTCTAAGCCACTGGGCTCTACAGGACACCTACTACAAAAGGCCACTCTACCAAGTCCAGGAGATTTAAAAGCTCTACCTAGAAACACAGGAAAGCAGCCAAAATAAGGAGACAAAGAAACATGTCACTAATGAAAGAAATGGAAGCAGGCAAACTACTGAATATAGAGTTCAAAACCATGGCTATAAGGTTACTCAAGGATTTTAAGAAGAGCTTCAAGGGAATTAATGAGAGCATTGAAGGACTTAGTAAGACTGTCAAGGATCTTAGGGAGAATTTCAAAGACATGAAAAAGGACCAGTCAGAAATTAAGCATACACTAGCTAAAATAAAGAATAATTTACAGCCCTAGCTGGTTTGGTTCAGTGGACAGAGCATTATCCTGCAGACTTAAGGGTCTGGGTTCAATTCCAGTTAAGGGCACATGCCTAAATTTCAGGTTCCATCCCCTGTAGGGAGAGTGCAGGAAACAGCCAATCAATGGTTCTCTCTCATCATTGATGTTTCTCTCTCTCTCTCTCCCTCTCATTCCTCTCTGAAATCAATATTATATATATATATATATATATATATATATATATTTAGAATTTACAGGGATTCAACATTAGGATTCTGAAAAACAAATCAGCAACCTGAAATAAGAAGAGGCAAAAAATACCATCAGAAAAGCAAAAGAACCCAAAAATATGAATATAGTGTAAGGAACCTCTGGAACTTCAAGCATACCAACATTTGCATTATGGGGGTGCCAGAAGAGAAAAAGCAAGATACTGAAAACCTATTTGAAGAAATTATGACAGAACACTTCCCCTACCTGATGAAAGAAATAGACTTACAAGTTCAGGAAGCACAGAGAATACTAAACAAGAGGAACCCAAAAAGGACTATACCAAGATATGATAAATTAAAATGCCAAGGGTTCAAGACAAAGAGGGAAATCTTAAAAGCAGCAAAAGAAAAGCAGTTAGCGTCCATATGACTGTCAGCTGATCTCTAAACAGAATCTTTGCAGGCCAGAAGGAAGTGGCAAGGAATACACAAGTAATAAATAGCAAGGATTTACAACCAAGATTATTCTACCCAGCAAAGCTATCATTTAGAATTGAAGGTAAGATAAAGAGCTTCATAGATAAGAAAAAGCTAAAGGAGTTCATCAGCACCAAACCAGTAGGACATGAAATGTTGAAGGGTCTTTTTTTCTTTTTAATTTAGTAAATCTTTATTGTTCAGATTATTACAGTTGTTCCCCTTTTTCCCCCAAGGGTATTTTTTAAGGGAAAAGATAAGGAAGAACAACAAAAATATGAACAATAAAATGGCAAAATAAATACATGTCTATCAGTAATTGAATCTAAAAATCAAAATAAAGAAATCTGATGAACAGAATAAATTGATGAATAAAATAGAATGAGAGGCATGGAAACATGGAACAGACTGACGAATCTAGCGGGAAGAGGGTGGGATGAGAGGGGGCAGGTGGGAAGAGATTAACCAAAGATCTCATATGCATTACCTGTGAACACAGACAATAGGGGTGGGGTGGAAATTGGGTGGAGGAGAGCATTGGATGGGGGGGAAAGAGGGACATCTATAATAATATATACTAATAAAAGGATAATATGCTAATTAGAATGAAGACCTTCTGGACATCCTTTCTGGATCAAGCCATGGTAGCGAGGCTGAGGCAGAGGTGGTTAGAGGTGATCAGGCCAGGAGGGGAGGGGGCCCAGTTGAGGGGTGAGCAAGCTGGTGGTTGGGGTAGTTGGGAGCAAGCAGGCTGAGGAAGGCGGGTGAGGGGTGGAATTGGGGGCAAGCAGGCCTGCAGGCGAGTGGTTAGGAGCCAGCAGTTCCAGATTGTGAGAGGGATTTCCAACTGGTTTAGGCCCAATGTGGGTCCCAGATTGAAAAGGGTGCAGGCCGGGCTGATGGACAATTCCTCCCCTCACCCCCCACACGAACTTCATGCATCGGGGCCACTAGTTTCAACAATGGTTTATTTTTTTAAAAAAAAAAATTCTAAACGTGTGTGTGTGTGTGTGTGTGTGTCTGTGTGTACACGCACTTATTAATTTTGAGAGAAAGATGTAAGGATCGATGAGAGACAAACATCAACCATTTGCCTCCTGCATACCCCCTACCTGGGCTTAAGTCCCACCCATGCATGTGCCCTGATCAGGAATTGAATCAGTGACCTCCTGGTACATAGGTTGACACTCAACCATGAAGCCCCACGGGCCAGGCTCTCTCTGTTTTAAAATTGTGCTAATAGTACATTTAACCAGCAACAAAAAAATAACACACACAAACAAAAAATATTCACAGCACAATTTCCTGAGATGTTAACAATGTGAGGCTTTGTGGCCCGAGAGATGCTTTTTTGTCATGCTCATGTATCAGCACGAAAGGCTTGTCAGGTAGAGAACTAACAAAACCAAGACATTTTTCAGTGAACAACTTGGTCAAGAACTGAATTGTTTAAGATAAGAGACATTCGGAAACTGAAGTTTGACTGTACTAGCATTTCATTACAAACACTATTAGAGCAATGTTATATGTGGAAACATGATTGTGTCTTTTATAAGCTCTGAGAATATTTCATAGTGTATTTTATCATTTAATAACATATTGCCTAAAATTGTTTTAAATAAGTTCTCAATTAACAAAACCTCACAGTCAGACTGACCTCTTCAAGCTAAGAACTATAGATTTCATCTTTGAACTGTTTTTAGTCCCAGATATTGTTTTTGCTTAACACTTTTCCTCTGAAGAAAATTTTAACTAGAAAGGAGCAGGAAAAGAACAACATTGCAAAGTATCGGTTTTAAAACATCATTCTGAGTGCTGCAATTTTCATAACATTTTTACTCATATTATCTTGACTCACCTTGATGAGAAAATCATCTATGCTATTTATTCAAAATAGTGATTATAAAATTAGCAGAAGATACATTATTTACATACCATGAAATTCTGCTGTAGAGGAGACCAAGAGTACATTATGGGTACTGAGGCAACGGAATTCAGTGTCTTTAATGGGATGACTTGTGTTGGAAAATCAAAGCCACTGGTCACTGAACACTGGAATAGAAAAAAATGAAATAACTGGTAAGAATAAGGCAACCTGAAGCCATAGCAATCATATTATAAAGGGATGCTACCATTTTACATAATTTTAAAAGAAAATTTTAAATTTTTTAAGTTACTGTCTTTACCTAAGACAGTAAAGTTCATAAAAACCAAAAAGGATTCTCTCCTTCTCTTTTACTTAAGGTGGAGGGAAAAAAGCTTCACATTTTACAAATTTTTAAAACCCTCTGCCCCTTCCAATACTTACCAATCAAAAAATGTATTTATATTAGTTTTCTATTAACTGCTCAAAATTTCTTCCACGCCTCAACCACATGGAATAATAATAGATACCAAATATGCCACTTAAATCTTACTTATAAGAATATAGAAACCTGTTAACCTCTTTATCTTTATCTTTCCTTTTAAAAAGCATAGGTGTCATTTGCTAAATTATCAGGTGATACACAAATATTAAAGGGTACTAGATCTGAGTTTCAATTACAAATGGATTCATATCAACTCTGTAAAGAGTAATCTCTAAACTATAATAATAATAGCTATGTTATTAACTTTGTATGTGCTCGGCCTTATATTACACACATTACATGTCTGATCATATTTAGTCCTCATTATAATATTGTAAGATGGGGACTGTCCTTAATCTTCATTTTACAGGTGAGAAAAGGAAGGTAAAGAAAGGATAAATAACTGGCTCAAAGTCACACAGATAAGGCTAGAATTTAAACCCAGAAAGTATGACTCTGGAGCCCCTGCACATATTGCCATGATACCAAATATCTATAATAGTTAAGTACCAATATTCCCTGAAATTGGTATTTCATCCAATCCACGATGACATCAATTTTAGTATCTTCTGTATCACCAAGAAAATGTTCCAGATAAACTATAACATAATGCTTTCTTATCACAGCATTTCTAAAGTGCATGATGATTTCAGATGTTAAAAAGTTTGCATCTTTGATTCTATGAAATGTGATAATAATCTGTGCCCAACCACAGCACTTTCCATCCTAAGAAATCGAACTTTTCTTATACCTTTACCCAATTACCAGGTCTCCAGAGCCTTCTCAAAAATACTCTGGACACACATTCATATTCTATAATCAATAAAAAATAAGAGCACGCCTTAGTGCAGTGGTCGGCAAACTCATTAGTCAACAGATCCAAATATCAATAGTACAACAATTGAAATTTCTTTTGAGAGCAGAAAACCGACTTCGAGCATGGAGCACAAAGTTTCAATTACACTGTACGTTGGTGCTCGCACATGTATTCTGTGGAAGAGCCACACTAAAGGGGTCAAAGAACCATATGTGGCTCGCGAGCTGCAGTTTGCCAACCACTGCCTTAGTGTCAGCCTAGGACTGAAAGGGAGGAACTGTGACAGTGATTAATCCATGAATTTGCTTTCCAAAAGGGCAAAGATAAAGATAATAATACTAGAAAGCTCACAGCTCAAATAAAGTATGAACAGTTTACTAGTACGACAAAACCCACAATCTTTCCCATTCCACTCTTTAGTCTCTGATACAATTCTTCATCCATCTGTCCAATAATCCAATAATAACAGTAGTCAACATTTATTGAGCATGTACTATGTTGCAGGCACTGTGCTAAGTGCTTTATAGACATTATCTTAACCATTTTCATCTCGGCCTTTATCTTCACAACTTCACAAATGAGGGCACTGAGGTTCAGAGACATTAAATAACTGGCTTAATCAGAAAGGCAGTAAGTTAACAAGCTAAAATGAAAGATTCCAGCACCCAAGAGCTTCATCACTGTTACAGCGTGCAGTGGGTGCTGCACTGCCTATCCTACCCAGCACTCTCCTCTTATTCCTGTCACTGCCAAGTCTCCCTTCCTTCCTAAGTAGGACTACTTAACCCAGTAACTTTGGGGCAAATATTATACACTGTCCAGTGAATTTAAGTACAGAATAATCTTCATTTCTTGCAAAACAATTACAGTTTTTTATTTTTATTCTACACTTGGCAGGGGTAATTGTGACTTTAATTCCCAAGATTAGCACCCTGAAAGCCTGGCAGGTAGGGGTGGGGAGGAAGAATGGAGAGGTGTTACAGGGGAGTGGTTGCTTCTCAAGGCCACACTTAAGGTAAGACAGACGCAATATTCTATTCAACTAGTAAGTGGGAGGGACATTCATTGGCTCTGCTTCATCTATTTATTCTGGCCATGTAGAAAATGCTCTGGGTCTACTGAACAAGGTCAGCTAAGTTTTCCCATGAACAGAAAGAACTGACAAAAGCAAAGAAATAAGACAGCAGAGGCTAAGTACTCAATACTATCTCCACATATATCATACTCCCATGAGCCATCATCTCAATACAATACAAGTCATAAGAGAGTCGCAGAGCTCTCTGAGGGCAGAGCGGGGGAGGCAGAGTGTGGCTTCACCTCTCTGTCTCACATTGATACTCAGCACAGTGTCTCCAAAAAGAGTAAGCACTCAAAAAATGTTTCTGGAATGCACTTGCTGATTCTCCCTAATAGAGATTTTAACTTCAATTTTCTCTTTAAAGATAAGAGAGCATCTGTTTAGAAAACTAAAGATCTATACCACCTCATTATCTACATAGTTATCTCCAGAAATCTATTCTATAACTATCAACCTTAACTAATAACCATATTCCTTTCATTTATGAAATAATATTCAAATGCAAAAGCATTTGTTAGTTAAAAAACAAGTTTGGGAATTCTTATTTATTGACTTATAAAAAAAATTACTCAAAAATCCCACTTACTTATCAGTAACTATTTTTCTTTGAAAATGTATCATCCTTGACAGCTATATATTTAAGCCTCCTATCAGAAAAGGATTTAGACTTCATGAATCTCCACAGCATTTTACCTGATCAAGAGTCATGTGTCCTAGACTCAGGAGCTCACTAGGAGACCACCTTTGTCAACAAATTGAATTCTCTAATTCTAGTTCCAATTTGAGGATCACACAAGGAAGTTTATCAAAAATGATTCATCATCAATGATAAAGGAAGAGGAAAATACATTAATTATCAAGGATGCTACATTTTCAGAGAAACACAGCTTACTGGTAAGTAACCAGGTTCCTCTGAGGATGGATAGACTTACATCAACCAGCTGGTACAATAGGCGACTGTGTGGCTGGACCACTGGGAGCTGGAGAGGGAAGTCAAGCCAAAAATAGGAGTTGTAGGAGTACACAACCAAACTGAGACTCTTGGCAGAAGGCTGGTTCCAAGTAAAAACTGTGTTATGGAAAATCGTAGAGGGAAGAGCAGGTGAATGGCCTGCAGGGAAGGGAAAGAAATTAACACACCCTACTATGTGCCAAGCACTGTGCTAGAAACTTTACCAAAGTTAACTTCTTTAAAACTCACCACTACCCTATGATGTAGATGACTCCCCATCTTACAGTGAGACATCCCAAAGCACATAGCCATCCAGTCTCTGAACAATCTTTAACATCAGAAGAGTTAAGTTCGACTTCGGTGTAACAGGGGAAGAAATACAATCATCAGTTAGCCAAGTTAAAAAAGTATTCTTGGATACTGGTTGGTCCATTTGATTCATGCAGGATATACAATGAACTGTTGATACTGTCTAATATATTTTAGTTTTTCCAAGTAAATAATAAGGAATCACCTCTCATCTAAGGTATAGGAAAGAACAGGTCAGGAGGAAGCATCAGCTGCCATCCAACTCTAAAGAAAAACTGAGCATGGTTTCTGAAACTACCTATTTTCTTCACGATCAGAGTGAAGATAACACACCCACATGTGAAATTCGCTAGTCCTTGTGGTGAAATGCAAGTGTATGGAACTTAATTTCAGACTGCTTTACGTGAAAGAATTGCTGAAGGAAAAACTATAATGAGGTAAATATCAAGTTTGGATAAAGTTAAGAGAGGCTCGATAGTAAGTGACTCATAATCAGGTTAGCAGGGTTATTAGGAGAAGATGAATCATGGAGATGACTGGCTCTAGCAGGAGAGTGTCAGAAATAAAAATTCAAAGTAAAAATCCTGATCGACACGGATCCATTTAATATAAACAACTAATTAAAAGCTGTTGGAGTTAAGGGAATTAAGGAATGGTTCACTCCAGCCTGTAAATTATTTCTATTTTGTTATTAAATATTTATATTGCAGAGTTATCTGGCTGGGGAGACAACCTCTACCCTGCAGCATAGACTCTTGCCCCCAAGTTCACATAAGCATGATAGATGTCCTGTAAGTGTCAGTTCTTACACTTCTGGGGGGTGATAGGGGAAGCCATATGTAGCATTTAACATACAACACATACATTTGGAATACAAACTTGGGAAGTTTAGACACTTAAAGCTCTTCTCTGCATTCTAACTTCAGACACCTGATCCTGAATGAAAGAGTTCATAAATATATACACCTAGTGAATATATTAACTGTTAAAACCCAATGGAGCCCAATCTGGTTTGGCTCAATGGATACAGCATCAGCCTATGGACTAAGGGATCCCAGGTTCTATTCCAGGCAAGGGTACATGCATGGATTGTGGGCTCAATTCCCGGTAGGGGTAATGCAGGAGGCAGCCAATCAATGATTCTCTCTCATCATTGATGTTTCTCTCTCTCTCCTTCTCCCTTCCACTCTAAAATCAATAAATTAAAAACAAAAAACAAAACAAAACAAAAAAACACACAATGGAATCTGGGTCTGAAGGGAGGGTATTGGGATAAATCACCTCCTCATAATCTGCAGTTTTGTAAAAATACTGGAGATCAGAAACAGAATAATCACAGGATATAAGTTGATAAAACTACAACAACACTCAACAAAAAACATGAAACAAGTAACAGAGCCATGTTTATCCATTACATGCAAACTCAAGTACCTAACCCAATAACAGTCCTATGAGTAGAAAATAAGACCATTTCCCTCATGGAAAAACAAACAAGAAATCCACAAAAACTAAGAAAAAGTACAATGAGTATTATACAAGTTCTTGGTT